CATAAATCAGCAATATATGACAAACGTAAACACTAAAAAACACCAAAACAACCATATACATAAATCCAAATTAAATCCCAAATAAAGCAGTCCAAATAAACCATCAGCAAAGCCTAAATAATCCTAAAAAATAAGCCTTAAACCAGCACAAAATAAACCCAAAAACCGAAACAGGCTTGCAAACTACCCCTTTAAAAAGTCTAAACCAACATTCAATAGACCCTACAACAACCCGAAAAAAATCAAACCAGCACTAAATTCACACTACAACAACTTTGAACCGACACCGAACAAACACCAAGCCAACCCCAAATCAACACTACATAACACAAGCCGAAGTAAACCTTAAAAGAAATCTAAAGAAAACCCAAGGCAACCAAATCTAAACTGTAAAAATATTAAAAAAACACACACACCCAAACTAACCGTACAGAAACCCTAAAATTAACCAGAAAGAATCCCCAAATACACCCTAAACCAACCTGAAATAGATCCTAAAACTAGCTCTAGACAATATATTGCAAATACCACGAAATACTGCAAATAATCCCCTGCGTAGTACAGATGCTGGCTCCAAGATGCTGCGAGCACGGTGCAAACGAGGGATTCAAGGCCCAAAGGCCTTAAATCCAATGCAAATTGCACGTTTAAGTTCCCAAACCCTGCAAATCTTGTACAAGTAAGAGATTTCAGCTGCAAAAAATGTTCAAAGTAGAGATTCTTGATTTTTTCCAGTGTCTTAAGTGTTTTTTTTCCCAGTGTGGAGAGTAGGGGTGAACCTTAGTTTGTTTTTCCAGTAGTCAAAAGTTCCAGCGTCTACCCGCCCAGGCGCCCAACTCGGCACCACACCACTCATTGACACGTGGAGAGCCATGGAGAAGTTGGTCGATGAGAAAAAAGTTCGCTCCATCGGTGTGAGCAACTTCCCTCTGATGCTCTTGCATGACTTTTGGCTCCAGGCACGTGTGAAGCCTGCCGTGAACCAGATCGAAGTGCACCCCTTCTACGTGCGCAACTCCCTCGTGAACTACTGCCTCAGCCGCAATATTGCCGTCACCGCCCACACGCCCCTGGGTGGCGGCCAGGCGAACACTACGCAGTTTTCTGCGGCCGCCGCGCCCATGGATTCGCCGGAGATCAAAAGCATCGCAGAAGCCAAGGGCAAGAGCTGTGCACAGGTGATCCTGCGTTGGCTCCTGCAACGAAAGATCCAAGTCATCCCCAAGAGCACCTCCCCTGGACGCATGGCTGCGAATTCTGATCTCTTTGACTTCCAGCTGTCCCAAGAAGAGATGGATCAGATTAGCGCCCTGGACCGCTACCAGAGTGCCAAGACGAACCCAAATCCGATGTCGCACTTCCTCACAGGGCCCGATAGCTTCGAGACCGGAGGCACCGATATCTTCGACTGAGGCGCCGAAATCTTTGACCAAGTGGTTGGCTTGGTTGTTTCATTGATTCAGTGATTGTTTCATTGATTCAGTGATTGTTTCAAAGATCCAAATTGCTTTCAGACCGGCATCGATCTAGTTGATTGCCTCAAGTCTGCCGAAAAGAATAAAAGATCGCCATGGTCCACGAAGGGCCCTTGAGACATAGATGGTTTCAGTCATGATTGGGTAGTTGGGTACCACAATGGCAGTCTGAAAATCCCATGTCACCACGCAGCGTTTGCACTCTGAAGAGCTTAGTGGAAATGGTGCTTGTCTAGCCAAGAATTGCAACCACCATGACTTACAGGAACATCACGGAATATGTATGGGATTTGGAAGATTATGGTGTCCACAAGAAGCTTCCTGGTGAGCGCCAGCCAGTTTGCTCACTGCATGATACATGGCACTGAGCAAGTCAGTAGCAATGATGGTGTTCCAGGACCTGAGACGCCAGTGGTTCACCCCATTTTTCAGTCACCAGTTGGTGGATACGAACATCACTTGTTCCTTACTGTATCTGTTGAATATCACCAGTTTATCTGACAGAAGCTTTCCAAGTTTTGGGGTTTAAATCCAACTCGCCAACTTTCGATGGTTAACATATGTTAACATTCAGCTTGGATATTCTGTGATATTTTGATGATCTATTTTGGACATTGATTTCCCAATGTTTTGGCCGTCAAATCCCTGAAACCAGCCATGAGTCAGGCATGAGTTTCATGGGGAAAAGCTGCTTCTGCTTGAGGCTGGGCCAAGTCCCTGGTCAAGTCCAAGGTCCAGCCGCTGGGTGACCCAAGGTGGGTCCAAGGTGTCCAAGGGTCCAAAAAGATGGAGTCCCACTGGAGACCTTGAGATCTTCAGGTTTTCTAGGTTTTTTTTAAATGTTTCCCAAGATATTAGGTCTTCTAGTTTTTTCCCCAAACAGTGTGTCCACACTGAGGGCTTCTTACGGTAGGAGATGGTGGGAGTAAAGGCCGGTGCTTGATCAGAGTGCTCACTCTGGGCTTCGGCATTTTCCCTGTAAATTTCCGTGTAAAGTGGCTCTTGTGAAATCTTGACATGCGTTTCGACTGCGCAGGCTCGCACAAAGTGTGTGTCTGCGTTCTGGGCCCAATCTGGGCGGCGGCATTTTTCCTGTAAATGTCCGTATAAAGTGGCTCTTCTGATGTCTCTTGTGACATGTGGACATGCATTTCGACTGTGCAGGCTCGCGCAAAATGTGTGTCCGCGTTCCGGGCTCAATCTGGGGCGCGACATTTTTCCCGAAAAATTTCCGTAAAAAGCGGCTCTTGTGAAATCTTGACATGCGTTTCGCCTGCGCAGGCTCGCACAAAATGTGTGCCTGCGTTCCGGGCTCAATCTCAGCGCCTTTTGCTCGCATGCATTGCTCAAAGTAAGTTTTCCCACCCTTAGCTGGCTATGGGCGTTGGGTCCGAGCAGCGGTGGAATGTACCTTAGTGATACGGATACCTGCAGGTCAGGTGGATTCAGTTGCATGCCACAAACTATGCACATGACAATATTTTATATTTCAGGGACGATCATTTTAGCATGAAAACCACCGAATTCGTGGTACCAATTTTGGGGAAACCCTGTTGTTTTATTCATCGAATAAGAGGTTTCTTGCAAATGTTCACCTAAAGCATTATCTTGTGAAGCGAATTCACCGAATCTCCAAGCCCTAACTGAATAATACATGTTTCCTGGAACAGGGCCCTTCGATGCTGAGCTACCCAATCACTGCGGCGAAAAGGCGAGGGCTGTTGCTACTGGGAAGGGATGACGCAAGGGCTTTGACAGTCTCACATCAGATTCTTGTGTGCTTTCAGATGTCAGAAATTGTGCACCAAGAATGTTCACGGTATGGCAACATTTCAGGCCTGAATCAAAACTCCTGGTGGACGCCATGGCTGGTTATGGCGCGCTTGGTGCTCCAGCCGCCCTTGCGGCTGGCTCAGCCTACAAGCTCTCGAGCGGCTACGAGATGCCAATGTTGGGCTATGGCACCTTTCGATCTGAGCCCGGTGTTGTGAAGGGAGCAGTCTTGGAGGCCATCAAGGCCGGCTACAGGCACCTAGACCTGGCACATGTCTATGGGAACGAGAAGGAGGTCGGCCAAGCCTTGAAAGAAGCCTTTGAGTCGAAGATCGTGACCAGAGGAGACCTGTTCCTGGTTGGAAAGCTGTGGAATTCGGACCACGACGTTGACATAGTGCCACAGGCCTATCAAAAGTCATGCGATGACCTGGGTGTGGAGTACCTGGATTTGTACCTGATCCACTTCCCCGTGGCTGTGAACCACACTGGCCTCGACAACCCCAACTTCGGCCCAGGCGGGGGATGATATATATTGGAAAAAAATCGAAGTTTCCTGGAAAAAATCTAGATCCCTGGAAAAAAACAAAATTACTGGAAACATATATAATTTAAGGATTCCCCTCTGATCCCCTTTGTATTTCTTGTACAGATTGGGTGGCCTTGAGGGGTACCCTGATGACTTCGGAACCATATGATAGAGATACACACACGCAGATCGATAGACACAACACACACACATATATATATAATTTATACAATATACATACGTACATACTACCTACCTACATACATACAGACATACATACATACATGCATACATGTAAAATTCACAGTAGCTGTTGACTGCGTCTGTCCCCACTGTTGCAGTGTTGAACTCGCGCAGTTGTATGTTTCCTCTCTTTTGGGCACTGGGCTTGTCGTCTTGAGCCAAACGTTGTTGAACGTCTGGTCAACTGTGCACAGGTATGTTGGTCTACTGTACACATACTTGTATATTAACACGGCCTCTTGACATGTTGACAATTGTTGTCTGCATGTCATCATCAAAATGTTGGACGCTAACTGTATCAATGGAACTAACTACAATTGTTGGGTGAGAAATAATACTAATTGGCTAAATGTTGAAATCCCTGTACACGACCAAAGACGTTGTCTACCTGGATAGTATACGTCTGAACTGAGAATCACTGTTGGATTCAACTTACGTTGAAGGGTTCTGTTGCCCTCACTGCTCGACCCTCAGTTGAGGTAATCCATGTTGCAATCATCTCTGTCGTTTTAGGATTCCATTCATCCAAGGGTGTTGCAGTTTCAAACCAGTTGTTGATCCTTTGTTGGATCAGCCGTGATGAACATCATGTTCATCCTCCTCCATGTTGGACTCATTGCCTGTGTCCATGATGCCCTCACGTTGGCACTCCTCGATCTCGTTGTTGTATAGCCCAATGAGTCAGCGAATGTTGTGGCATCCACGTTGCCACGTTTCTCTCGGCTGTTTTCTGGCCGTTGTAGCCAATGTCCTTCACCTGGATCTGGCCAATGTTGCCAATCACCAGATGATGTTGACGACCAAGATGTTGCTTCATCAGTGCCACTGTTGCTGCTGGCATTGAATCGAGGCACTGTAGTCCAGAGTAGAGCAAACCCTGAAGTGTTGCGTACCACAGTTGATGTTGAGGGCCTGTTTGGGCCACTTCCACAATGTTGATTGGGACGTTGAATGTCCAGGCCCATCCGCTGCCCCAAGCGTAGAACAGTCCAACTGTTCTGCTCATGTTCATGCCATTGACGTGTTGAAGGTTCCATACCTTCTGTGTTGCCTTCTCTGCCGGCAACATGTTGAAGACTCGACCAGCCTCCAACTGCATCTGTGGCTAATGTTGATGCAGCCTGATGAAATGCGCTGCATCTGTTGGAGGGTGTTGACCTCCCAACTCAATAGGACTAATTCTGTCCTGTTGCTTGTGACCAAATGGTGTTCGACAGCGTGATAGGACCATGTTGCCAAAGCCGCCGCTGGTGATGTTGACAGGATGAAGCAAAGAGTTGTTGTTCCAGCCTCTCTAAAGTTTACCTCCTCTATTGTGAGCACCAGCCACACCATCTGCTTGTTGGCAAGGCGTGTTGTCTGGTAGTACTCATCAGATTGTTGAGGTCCTGGTACTCGTTGTCCGTTCTGTTGGTCAGCAGCGTTGCTGATTTGTCAGCCCCCTGAGGGTGTTGCCCATTACCTGGCTGTCTGGGAATCTACTAGAGCGGCCATTGTTGCCGTAGATCTCGAGAATGTTGAGCCGCTGTTGGACAAACGAGGCTGCGATTGAAAGTCACTGATGTCAACAAAATGTTGACACAAAATTTACACACATCACACTGTTGAATTCCGAGCTCAGCAAAAAAGAAACATGTTGTGTGTCACAGACATGTTGTATGGGACGTGTGCATATACTTCACCATGTAGTCGACATTCATGTTGAGGTAGGACACATCGAGAATCGTGTTGGAATACGTGATGGAATGCGCTCATGATGTATCATGTTAGTGTTTGTATTCCCCGCTGTTTCTAGGCACGAGGTCCCCATAGGCTGAGGAAATTTCCAGTTATGGATGTAGAACAGCTGCAAGATGGTGCAGCCCCGGGACCGGAGGATTGCGGCGCCGTTCTGGGTGTCCTTCGGTCCGTCGGGTTGACCGGCCCCCGGCTTGCCCTCCAGCTCGGCGAGGAAGAAGAGCTGGGGAGGCAGGTCGCCGAGAGGGCTGGTGTTGCCTATGGGGATTGGGTCAGGGAGCTCATGGCCAACCTGATCAAAGATGCATACACCTCTGTGGAGCTTGACGCTCGGTTGGAGGGCTCAGCGACGACACCGGGTACGCAGGCCATTGGTGACGCTGTGGCCCATCTGACCAGGGAACAGGAGAAGAAGCCAGAGGTGCGTGAAGAGGGGCCCTTGGTGCAGATAGTGCTGCCAAAGAAAGGGCGGATGGCAAGGGCGCGGCAGGGTGTCCTCGGAAATGTAGTGAGCCCTGAGGACGAGGAAGAGAAGGTCTTGAGGGCCCTATTTGAAGAACTGCAGCTGGTGAGAGCACCGGTCCTGGACCAGGCAGATGAGACCAGCAGGCCTGACAGAGTGAGACGTGCGCTGTTAGGAAAGTACAGACCCTCGTCCGCCAAGAGGTATCTGGCATACTGGCAGGGGTTCAGAAAGTGGTGCGTTGTGGGCACTGGCCAGGTTCCCCGCCAGCCTTCGCAGCTTGTAGACTACTTGCTTGCGCGAGAGGAGGAGGGTATGGGGGCCTCAGTGCCCTTGTCAGTCAGCAAGGCAGTCAGCTGGTTTGAAAAGGTCTCTGGCATGCCTGAAGAGAGCTGGCTGAGCACCGATCAGCTGGTGGTGACGGTGGTGCGTGACCTTTTGAAGAAACTTGAGGATGGTGCCCCACCGCGGAAGAGGGCGCCACGGATGTTGAGCTGCTTTATCCCGGCCTTGGAACGGCTGGTGGTTGATGAGAAGAGTAGTGAGCGGCTCCGGCTGGGGGCCTGGCTCAAATTGCTCAAGATTTGGGCCTCGCTCAGGTTCGATGACCTGGCACATATCAGGGCAAACAGAGGACGAAGACGACAGGTGGAGGGAAGAGGGTGAAGGAACTCCCCTTCCATGTGGCGACATGCGCATGGATTGAACAGAGCGAGTGGCTGGTGGTGGGCATGGAGGTCCTCAAGCAACTGAAGGGTGGTGCCTTTGATTTGCTGGTTCCATCAGGGATCAATGAGGGCCTGCTATCCAAGGATAGCGTTATGTCCTACCAGGAGGCAGTGGCATGGAGCACAGAGGTGTTGGCCGCCCTGGAAGATGGGAAAGGGGGCCGCATTATCCCGGATGGCTGGGAGCGATACTGGACAGAGCACAGCGAGCGTGCAACCTTGGCAAGCGGCTTGGCAGCCTTGGGCGTTCCAAAGTCGGAACGTGATATGCTGGGTCGCTGGGCGCCCGAAGGCTCGGACCAATATGTGAGGTCCTACAATGCAGTCATCGCAAGGCTGCAGAACAAGTTCGCACAGCCTGTCAGGGTTGGCGACGGGTACAATGCCTTCGACGAGGGTGCAGTGCTGGAGGGGCTCAAGGTATGGCTCACGGAGAAGTGGGGTGTGAAAGAGGACATCTCACATGATGCTGTTGAGGGTTGGAAGGCAAAGATCAGGCCTTACTCACCTTTCCAAGACCTTGTGGAGGAAGGGACCGCCGAGGATGAACGTGCCAAGAAGCCGAAGGTGGTGGAGGAATCCTCCTCAAGCAGCTCAGATTCCAGCAGCAGTGGTGAAGAGGAGTCCAGCACTGGGAAGAAGAGGCGTGTGACGCGTCTTGGAGCGGATAGGCCTACGGGTTTTGTGGTGGTCTACAACAGAATAGACCGGGGAAAGCTGCACAGGTCTGGTGAGGCCGGGTGCTGGATGGCAAGGGCAAGAAAGTTCCGGAGGGCAACGTTCTACGGAGAGATGCCTGGCGAGGCCGAATACACGACCAGGTGCAAGCTGTGCTGGCCTGCAGGCAGAGATGATGAATCTTCCAGTGACTCGGAAGACGAAATGGAGGACCTTGAGAGTGGATTGCCACCAAAGGGTGGAATGCCTGATAGTAGTGTGTACAGCCTGCCTGAAGGCGGGGCTCTCTGGGATGAATAGCTGACCAGAGGACGGGGCAAAACTGAAAGCCGCAGCGCGGTCGGTCAGTCCAGTGTTTGAAAGGTGAGGTCTCACGACGAGGTATCAGTTGTTGAGAGTGAGGGTTCTTCATGCACGGAGAGGGAGACCCCAGGAGCCCTGGGGTAGGAAAGGGGGGCCGCGCCCCCCGTTTAACCCGGGTCGCACCTGGGGAGGTTGCTGGGTTGTCTATCAGGTCGCACCTGTATAGGCAGGGGGAATAAGGGTTTATGCCCGCGGCGTTTATTCAGGGCTCAATTGCTGCGCCAGCATGCCGCCCGTGGTCCTCAGTGCTGAGGAGAGGGATGCAGCCCTGGCAAAAGGGGGCTCGGACCTCCGGTTTTTGCTGGAGAGGAATGATGTCAGCAGGGACATCATGGCAAAGTGGTTTCACGTCGGTGTGGTGAATCTGGAAAGATTTGCTAACATTGCCAAGGATGTGGCGGACTTGACAGAGGTCCTGAAGGAACATATGGGCCTGGATGCCACTCAATCGCTAGAGGATAGGGTGGCAGTTGCCTCGGTGACATGTGCCTGGTCCAATGCGAGGACAAGGGTGCAGAGGGCAGCGGAGATGGAGGCCGAGCTGGACACGAAGGAGTGGAAGAAGCCAGTGGTCAGCTCAGAGTGGCTGGCAATGAAGTCGGGGCTGGAGAAGGCCTTAGGCTACGTGGATGACAAGGTCTGGCCGGCGAAGGAATATGTTGAGAAAAAGCTCCAAGAGGTGGAGGCAGGGGATTACAGGGCGGAGGATCTCACGGAGGTGGTGAGCAGGGATGAGACGGACCCTGATACGCTCATCCCGCAGTTTGACTCGAAGGGGAACCTGTCAGTTCGACGGGGCACGACAAGAACGAAGGAACCAGAAAACCCGGAGTCATTGCGGGTGAAGCTGACAGTCATGCGCAACGCCTACATGATGATTGCGCTGAAGCATACAAATCGCCCGGAGCTTCAGGGTGACTATATGAGGGTCTTTGAGGAGTTCAAGGACTACTTGCTGGGCGAGCATGTCTATGGCCTGAATGCGAGAGATGCAGAGGGCTATACGGTGGCAGCGCCCCCGTTCAAACTGGTGCTGTCCTATGAGAAGGCAGTGAGAAAGGAGGCTGCGAGGAAAATGAACCAGGACGGCACGGCATATCCGGCAGCCTTGAAGCTGGCCTGGCGGGACGCAACTGTGAAGGAGCGCCACTTCACAACGCCTCTTGCGTTGTACGCCAAAAGGCCTGCACCGGCACCTTCAGGCTCAACGGAACTTACAACCAAGAAGTTCAAAGGGGAGCAGAAGGGAGGCAAGGCAAAGAGCAAAGGAAAGGGCAAGCAGATGGCGGGGTGTGCCTCCCACAATGCTGAAGGCAAACCGATCTGCTACCGGTTCAACACGCCTGGGGAGAAGTGCAAAGAGAAGAAGTGCAAGTTTGCACACCAGTGTGGAGTCTGCTTCTCGCCGGCGCACCCCATGTACCAGTGCGGTGGTAGCAAAAGACAGCCACCGGATACAGCGGGAGCTGGCTGAAACAAGCTCCGGGTCCTGTATATCTTCTCAGGAGAGAAGAGGAAGAATTCAGTCGCATGGCATTTACAGAGGCTGGCCAAGATGCACCAGCTGACGATAGAGGTTGTGGAGCTGGACCTACGGCATAGTCGTCGGGCAGACTTCACCAAGCCACTTGTACAGCAGAAGTGGCTGAGAGTCATCGATGAGGGCAAGGCGGACGCTTTGGTGATCACGCCGCCCTGCTCTACTTTCAGCAGAGCACCTTGGGCTAATGATAGGGGGCCTTTCCCCTTGAGATCTGCGAGGTGCCTGCGTGGTTTCACATGGAACTCTGCTGCCCGAAAGCGGAAGGCAGGCCTTGGGAATACTTTGGCGGATTTTTCTTTTGAGGCGATGACGCGCCAGTTGAAAAGAAGGCACACTACAGCCTTCATGGAGCAGCCAGAAGATTTGGGAGCAACAAAAAGACCGAGGGTGCCTGGGCATCGTCCAGGGTCAATGTGGCAGTTCCCGCAGCACTCGGAGCTGATGGCTATGGAGGGGGTCAAGTCAGTTGCACTGGCTCAGATTGACTTTGGGGCAGAGACCCCCAAGCCTACGAGGCTGCTGATGCGAACTGAGGTTGAGTTGCACGCTGAGATGTATGAGGGCGCACCAAAATTTGATGAGGAAGGGTTCTACGTTGGGCCATTGCCTAGAAAAGAGGGCCCCCAACTTACTGGGCGTGCAGAGGGTGGTTTCAAAACAGCTGCTGCAGCGCAGTGGCCTTCAGCCCTATGTTCCTGGGTGGCCGAGGCAATTGTGGGCTCGTTCCTAAAGAACAGAGTGTCCCAAAGGAGGGGGCCACAAATTGAGGAGAAGGGAGCCAAGTTTCAGGCACCTGGAGAGGAACTTGCAGAGGAGCCAGACCCATTTTACCGGCTTGCAATGGGAGGTAGTGGGCCTGCAAGAGGATGTGAGTGGAAGGGGGAGGTTGTCCCCTTTCATGACGGGGGTTGCCTGATGTCGCCGGGCAGGTGGGATATCCCGAAGCGGAGGTATCCAGACAGCAATGACTGGTGCGAGTTCAGAAAGAGGCTGAGAGGCTGCGTGTTGGAGGAGGTAGGGAGTGAGGCATTGCTTGAGAAGGAATGCTTTGCCATGGCAAGAGGTGAAGGAGGATGTAGGCTGGTTCAGTCAGAAAAGTTACAGGTGAAGTTGGGTGAGGAGATTAGGAGATTTTGCGGTGGAGATGAGAGCCTGTTGGAGATCGCAGACGGGCAACCGTTCAAGTTGAGGGCAATGAGAAAGGTTTTGGAAAAGGCGGGGGATGCGGACTTCGCCTTCTTGGAGGAGGCCGAGACTGGCCTGCCGTTGGGGGTGAAGCATGCTCTGCCGAGGACACCCTTTGCGTTTGAGAGGCAGGTTGAGTGGTCTCTCAAGGATGACCCAACGGAGATTTGCGAACTGGCCAAGGCGAACTATCCGTCGGCAAGGGATCATGAGGAGCACCTCCGCAGTCATTTGGAGGCAGAGGTCGCAGAAGGGCTTGTCAGAAAGATGTCGATGAAGGAATTTGAGGAGGAATTTGGAGAAGACAGGGCGATAGCAGCTTTGGCGGTTCTAGTGGAGGATGAATCTACTGGAAAGAGGCGGGTCATCCATGATGGGTCGCATGGAGTGAGAGTTAATCACCGTATTAGGTGTTTAGACAAGGTGAGGATGCCGTGTGGGCGTGAGAAGCGCCATCTTCTGGGTAGATTCAGGGCGGCGCGTGATGTGGTGTTCTCGCTCATCGGAGACTTCGGTAAGGCCCACAGAAGGTTCAAGTACCGGAAGGACGAGCAGGGGTATTTGGCCTGCAAGGTTAAGGAGGAGGAGGACTTGGTCTATGTTAATTGTGTGGGCACCTTCGGAATCTCCAGTACCCCATATTGGTGGGGCCGGATTTCTGCTGCCCTGGTGAGGTTGGTTCACTACCTTGTTGGCCCAGGAGTGCCGCTGGAGCTTCTTTTATACGCGGACGATTTGGAGTCCATGGGCATTGGAAAAGAAGGCCGCAAAGGGGCAGTGCTGTCCTTCATTTCTATGGGGGCATTTGGCTCTCCATTCAAGTGGGGAAAACAAAGAGGGGGTATGTGTACCGAGTGGGTGGGCCTCACGACAAATTATGGGGACTACTCATTTGGTCTGTCAGAGAAGAGAGCCATGTGGTTGACTGCCTGGATTGGGCAGATATGCGAGGAGAAGAGGGTGGAGCCTCGGAATTTTGCGGCCGGTCTTGGCCGTCTTGGGTTTGCCGCAACGGCTCTCCCATGGGAGAAGCCCTTCCTTGGGCCCTTGTATGTTTGGGCGGCTGCAGTCAGGGACCAGAGAGGCAAGGTGGTGGTCCCATGGGCGATCTTGATCATTTTGGATTGGGTCGCTGAGAGGCTCAAAGGTGGTGGAAGAATGGAGGTGGTGAGGCTGCGAACGGAGCAGATGGCCCAACAGCTCCTGATATACACAGACGCCCGGGCATCCGACCATGACGCCTGCATAGGAGGATATCTGGCCCTGAGTGGAGACCTTGGAGATTGCCCTTGGTTCAGTATAGAAGTGGATGCAAGGCTGGCGCCCTGGTGGAAGGTGAAGGGAGGAAGCCCAAAGAGGGTTATCGCGGCATTGGAGCTGTTGGCGACCTTAGTCGCAGTGAAACTTTGGGGTGGAAAGGCCTTAGGTGGCCTGAAGCTCAGGATGAAGGCATTCACTGACAACAGAGGCAACTCTTTTGCTATAGCGAAGGGTATGTCCACGAAATACCCGATTACAATTCTGCTCATGGAATTGTCGGAGGAGCTCAGAGAGAAGGACTTGGACATGGACTTGGAATGGGTTAGAAGAGAGGAAAACGTTATTGCTGATGATCTTAGCAATGGAAGATGCGAAGCATTCAGAGAGGAGAACAGAGTACACTTTGTCGTTGAAGAAGGAACGTGGAAAGTTCTCTCGAGATTGCAGAAGAGAAGTGAGGAGCTTTATGAAGGCTTGAAGTCCCTGAAGAGTCAGGGCAAGGCAGTGACGAAGGTGGGCAGCCGGGCTCCGGCACGGAAAGTGAGGCGGAAGGTCCTCACTAAATGGTGAGTGACTGAGGATGGGATAGTGACCCAAAGAAACAAGATGTTTCCATTTGGGCTGCACTCACAGGGAGCCCGTCGTCAATCGGAAAATATGCGTGCTAGAAATCCAGGGGTACGAACATCATGTTGATATACTCCAGGATGTAGTTACAGCAAAAAGGCTGATCAACTATTGTTGATCCCATGGCTGAGGATAGTGAAACTTGTATGTTTTGATGCAGGCGCGCTGCAGTAAATGCTGGTGTTGCTGCTTGTTGCAAGCTGCTGATGAAACGGCTGCTTGTGGCTTCAGTGAAGGTTGAGGTGCTGGATACCAAGTCCAGCTTGTTGGAGGTGTCGTTGCGGAGCCCCTGTTGAGACATGCTTCCTCAATATGTCGGCTGGGTTGTCGTTTGTGGATTTTGATCAGTCTCGCGTAGTCGTGTGAGGTCAACGGTTGAATGAAAAGATGTTTGAGTTCAATGTGCTTTGCCTTTCTTGAGGATCTAATTCTTGTGGCCATGCTTTTGCCACTTTGAAGAGTCTGTGTGGATCTTGATATTGATCTTGTTGATGTTGAGAAGTTCCATCAAGAGACTTCTGATGTGAAGTGCTTCTTCTGCTCCGGTGTTGATGGCATACAGTTCGGCCTCTGCACTTGAGAGTGCAATTGTTGCTTGTGTTCTGCTCCCATAGTTGATTGTTGTTCCCAACAGTGTGATGATAAATCCTGTTGCGGATCTTCTTGTTGTTGCTGGACATCCTGCCCAAGCGCTGTCGACAAAGACGTTGAGATCAGGGATTGCTTTTGCTGGGATCTTTGCTCTTGGTCGACTGTTTTGTTTGTAGTGCTTTGTTCCTTTGATGTATCTGAGAAGGTGCTTCATCTTTTGTTGATCGGCTGTTGTTGGCTGCTGCAATGCTCTTGCTAGTTCCTTTGTTGCGTAGCTGATGTTGGGTCGTGTGTATGTCATCCATTGGGGTTTCCCGACTGCTCGTCTGTATTGAGCGTGCTCTTCTGCTGAGAGTGCTTGTTCGTGGTCTGCTGTTGCTGTCTTCAGTGCTGATGTTCCTGGTGCTGGTGCTGGCTTGCTGTCCTGCAGGTTTGTCTCTGTCGGGAGTGTTGTGGTGTAGTCATCTGATAGGATTGATAGGCTACTCTCGTAGTGGTCTCCTCTGTTGGTGATGTTCCTGCCAAGGAATGCTACTGAGTTTCCTGGAGACAGAGCGCCTGCTGGTCGCAGTAGAAAATGCTGTTGGATCTCCTTGAAGAGCTTGTTGACGATCTGTTCCTCGCCAAGGAAGAGAAGGTCGTCGACGTAGGCCAAAACAAAGCAGTGCGCGCTTTTGTCATGAAGATGTTGGGTTCGGCTGTGCTACGGTGAAGTCCAGTCTGTTGAAGGACTTGCAAGATGTTTCTGCCATGCTGTTGGACTGCTGCGTAGTCCGTAGATTGCTTTCAGTAGTTTCCATACGATGTTGTCCTCCGGGTTGTAGAACTCCTTTATTGGGTACATGTAGAGGTCCGCTGTTGCTGCTGCCACATGTTAAAAAAAAACTGTTGAAATGTCTCCTGTTAGACCGGTCCATCCGTTGTTGCATGCTAGCGTGAGGAGTGTTCTCAACACACAGAAAATGGGTGTTGACACATAGATGTCATCCAAGCCTGTTACTGTTTCTGTAAATCCTTTTGTGACAATTCTTGCTCGGACCTTGTTGCCCTTGTCGCGTAGGACCCAGCGTGACTGGATAATGTTCTTGCGTTGTTCTGGTGTCAGTGTGTTGATGTCCACCTCCATGTAGACCTGCTCTGGCTTCATGGGGAGAATCTCCTGTTTCATTCCTTCAAGCGTTTTCTGCTTGTCGAGTCCATCTGTGTTGTTCACGATGGGTTCAAGAAGGATTCGTTCAGTTTGTTGTTCTGTTGCATCCTCACAGGAGGAAGCTGTGATCTCCTCTCATTGTTTTGTTTTGCGCGTGACCTTTGTAATCCTCAATCTGCTCTTTGGTTGTTCCGGTGTTGGCTCCGGTCGTGCTGGTGCCTCTGGCTGTGCTGGAGTACGCTGTTGCTTTGTTGAGCTTCCTTCTGCTATGTCATCTGCCAGGTGTCGCTTTGGTGGTGGTGGCATTGTTGGCCTGCTGTGACAACTTGTTGGTGCTGTGGCCATTGGTGAACTGGCCATTGCTGGTGCTGCTGATGCCATTGGCGTGCCTGCTACTGCTTTTGGTGGAAGTTGTGGTCCACCTGTTGGTGCTGGTCTAACGGTCACCTGTTCCTTGAATGTCTGTGTCTCCGCCGTTGCTGTTGGTCTTCTTGGTGGATGGAAAACCATCGGTGGTTGTAGTTGTGCTTGTGATGTTGGTGGTGATGCCATTGTTGTTCCTGTTCTGCTGATGACGTCAAAAATTTGTTTGTCATACTTGTCTGGCTTGGGCATGCGTCTATTTGTTCTTGCTCTGACAATTTTGTTGCTAATGCCCAGGAGTGTTTCTCCTGTTGCTGTGTCTCTTCCAAGCCAAATAGCTTTGAAGAAACGTTGTTCCATCTTTGGAAGTTGCTTGACTGTTGGTAGTAGGTATTGTACTGTTTCACCAAACTCACAGAGTGGTGCTTTGTGGTCTTTGTTCCATCTGCGGAAGTAGCTGGTGTTGCCATCCGCATGTGTTGCGAAGCGGTTGGATAGATACTCTGTGTGTCGCACCAGCCATGGTACAATTGGATGTTTGCTGGCGATTGTTCTGTCGTAGTTTTGTTGTAATTGGGCTCTTAGTGTTCTGATTTGTCCCATCAGTGTTCGATGGAAACGCTCAACGCTGCCCTGTACTTGTTAGCTGTATGTTGGCGATTGTCGGACGGTGATGTTGCCGCCCATCTTGCTTGCTCTTGTTTGTAGAAATGCTATCAGGCGATCTTCTTGATCCGATTGTAGTATGGTGCTGTTGAGTACTGCTTGTACTCTGCCGCATTCCATGAGGAATGATTGGATGCAGTTGACATGTTATTGGCAGTCTTGTTGTTTGTCTCCTACCACTGTTGCCTTAACCATGCCTGTTTCCACATCCATGCCAGTAAGGATTGCTGTCGTTGTTGGCTCTCCTGCTGCCTTGAAGTAGCAGAGGTCAAACTGTACTACTGGCATTTTGCTTGTTTGCTTTGGGTGGTTGTCTGCTCTTCCTTTGTTGGCTACGCATGTTGGACACCAATTCCTAAATGGAAGGTGTGTAAGCTCAAATTCTGCTCTTTCCTGTTGTGTTGGCTGTGCTGGTGCTGTGAGTCCTCTTGCTGGCTTGGCTTGTTGTGGATCTTCGTCATCCATGTCATGTACCTCATCCTCGTATGAGGTGCTCTCGTCAAAGTTTGTTGGGCCAGTCCATGGGACGTTCAAAGTTGCTTCTCGTAAGGTTGTACAATCGTCGTCGATTCTGTACCATCTTGCTCCTGATGTTGGCTTGACGATTGTTGTCCTCTCTGGGATAAGCTTTGTGACATCTGGTCCATCTTGCGTTCGCTGTGGTATGTAGAGTGTTGTTCTGGGTTTGATGCGGACTCTTTTCCACAGATGTCCTTCACGAATCCAATAATCTTCCGTTGTTGGAAATTCCTTTGGTCGTGGAATGCTTGTTGCTGTGTGTGGTTGTTGTCCACTGCTTGGCTGCTGCTCATTGCTTGTTGCGATCTCTTCTGGTCTCTTTGGCTTCTTCTCTGTGTATCTTCTCTCTTGCTGTAGCTGTTCTTGTTGTTGCTGACTGGGTGCTGGAAGTGCTTTGCTTGGTGTTGTGATTGGTGGCCTTGGTGGTCTTGCATTCTTCTTGACCTTGAACCACGTCTCACGTTTCCATGCTGTGTTCGGCATCCTCTTTTGTTGCTTGTATTCAAGGCTGTGAAGCTTCTCCTCAAAGTCTTCTGTTGTGCCGTCCTGCTTGTGGGCTACTGTTCTCCTGTAATCCTCAAGCTTGTCCATTTGAACTGGAAATTGTTGGTCTGGCATGTAGGTTGCTCTGCGCTTGGCCTTGTGGAGTCTTACCTAGTACCCTTGACTATTGTATGTCCAAATGTCATGTTGATGTGTCACCCATTGTGCTCCTCCTGGTGTCAAAGTGATGGGTTGATGCGTGATATTGCTGCTTTGATTCCTTGTTGGGTGTCGTGAACGTCAAGCTTGTAGTTGGATGGTGTTCCTGTGTTTTTCACAGGTGGGAAGAATGTTCTTTCCTTTGCTCGTAGTTTTGCTTCAAACCCGTTTGGGTGTGTGATTGTTGGTTGTTCACTGAAGTGAATTCTGAAGCCTTTTTCTGTCAGTCTTGTTACTGACAGGATTGGTTGTGAAACCGAACACACATTGAACGGAATCACAATCTGTTGGTTGCTCTTGTTGGTCATGTAGGCCCATTTGTATCCATAGACCTCGATTGGGTCCTCTGTTGCTGTTCTGAGGTTTGGCCTTTCATGTTCTGGTATGTCATAGGTTTGTGTTGTTGAGGCAAACCAAATTGGGCAAACGTGTGTTGCGGCTCCACTGTCGGTCATCAGTTCATCCTTGTTGAGGTTTGTGAACATGCTCATGTCTGGTGCTCTTACTACGCTGTTGCTGTTGCGCGGTACTGTGACCGCTGCAATCTGCAATGCTGGGGTTGCATCTAATTGTGAAGGTGCTGGCAGTGCAAGTTGTTGTGGTTGCTGCACTGGGTTGACTTGTGTTTGGTCGTTTGTCCACCGATGGTTGTCATAGGTGGTTTGTGGTCCATACCACTGCTCAGTTGCATCGTTGTATTCTTCCTGAAGGCGTCCTCCTGAATGTTGTAGACTGAAGCTCTACTCTTTTGCCATGTGGCCTGGTTGCATCTGTAACGGCCTGTTGTGTATCCTTTTCCTTTGCCGGTTGCCTTTCCTTGCCCTTTTCCTTGTCCTTGTGTATAGTTGCTGTATCCCTTGTATTGGACTGTTTGTCCAACGGCCCCTTTTCCTTTGCCTGGTGTCGTGTGGCCATAGCCTTGTTGTCCGTAGCCCTTTCCTTTGTTGCATTTCTTTCCTTTGCCTTTGTGCTTGCCCTTTCCTTTTCCTTGTTGATGGCTCCTATGTCCATCGGTGCAGCTCCTCCATTGTAGTTTGTTGCAGCACTGGATGATGCGCTCTGCTGGAGCCTGCTGAATGCTGTAGTTGCCCTGTAGTATTCCATGATGGTTGCTCTGATGTCGATGTAGGTTGGTGTTGCTCCAGCCATCAGGTGAAGGTGTTGTTGTAGTGGTCCTTTCGTTTCACTCATCAAGACTGCAATCTTGACTTGGTCTGGTAGTTGGGTGTTGCTGTCTCTTTCATACCTGTCGAGTTTAAACTCCCAATTGGAGAATGACTCCTCAAACTTGTTGCTGTCAAATGTTGGAAGAGCTTTGTGAGATATCCTATGCTTCTTGTTCCCACCGGCTATGCAAACCTCATGTTGAGTTGTCGGAGTACCTCGAGCCCAATCTCATGTTGACGTTGTCTGCAAAGAGTGGCTGCTGCTCCTGTTGTCACATTGATCAACACATACTTAAGGTTTTGATCGGGTTGGACCCGTGCATTTGCTTCCTCCAGTGTTGTGGCTGCTTGTCGTAGGTGTGCCTCTGTCACTTGTTGTGCTGCTGCTTCTGCCGGCCTGAACATCCTTGGGTAGAATGGGTCCTGTAGGCCCATGTATGCTGTGAACTTGTATTTCCATTCTTCATATGTGGCATAGTTGCCATCATATGTTGGGGGTTTGAGTTTGAGTTTGTGTGTTGCTGCCAAGGCTGCTACTTCATCGTCTGCTGGCGCTGCCATTGTTGTGTGTAGGTGCTTGGTGTGTTTTGCTGAGAATCCCCCAGTGTTCTGGGATCAAGTCCTCTGCCTGTTGTTCACTGCTGTTGCTTGGAGATGCCCCTGGTTAGGCAGAGCTCCGCTACCATGTAAAATTTACAGTAGCTGTTGACTGTGTCTGTCCCCACTGTTGCAGTACGTACATACATACATACATACATACATACATACATACATACATATTTAAGGTTCCCTACCCTCCTCATGCTTTGATGTCCGGAACTAACCTTATATAAGCCCGAAAGAAACCTTGAATAGGCCACAAACCAACCCTCAATAAAACCTAAAGCAGCCGTCCTACATAAACATCCCTAAAACAAATTGAAACAAGCACCAAAAAAGCATCCAAACAACTCCAACTAAGCCCTAGGATGACACCTGAAAACCTGAACCAAAATTAAATAAACCTCAAAACACAATTAAACAAGCACCAATCCAGCCATAAATCAGCACTATATGACTATATAAGACAAACGTAAGCATAAAAAACACCAAAACAACCATATACATACATCCAAATTAAATCTTAAATAATGCAATCCAAATAAACAATCAGCAAAGCCTAAATAACCATAAGAAATAAGCCTTAAACCAGCACAAAATAAACCCATGCACTACATAACAAAAAACTGAAACAGGCTTGCAAACTACCCCATAGACCCAAGAACAACCCGAAAAAAAAACCAGCACTAAACTCACACTACAACAACTTTGAATCGACACCAAACAAACACCAAGCCAACCCCAAATCAACACTACATAACACAAGCCGAAGTAAACCTTAAAAGAAACCTACAGAAAACCCAAGGCAACCAAATCTAAACTGTAAAAATATTAAAAAACACACAGACACCCAAACTAACCGTACAGAAACCCTAAAATTAACCAGAAAGAATCCCCAAATACACCCTAAACCAACCTGAAATAGATCCTAAAACTAGCTCTAGACAATATGTTGCAAATACCACGAAATACTGCAGATAACCCCCTGCGTAGTACAGATGCTGGCTCCAAGATGCTGCGAGCACGGTGCAAACGAGGGATTCAAGGCCAAACCTGTTTGAATTCCATGCAAATTGCAAATTTAAGGTCCGAAAACCTGCAAATATTGTACAAATAAGAGATTTCAGCTACAAATAAAGCTCAAAGATTCAAGGCCCAAAGGCCTTAAATCCAATGCAAATTGCACGTTTAAGTTCCCAAACCCTGCAAATCTTGTACAAGTAAGAGATTTCAGCTGCAAAAAATGTTCAAAGTAGAGATTCTTGATTTTTTCCAGTGTCTTAAGTGTTTTTTTTCCAGTGTGGAGAGTAGGGGTGAACCTTAATTTGTGTTTCCAGTAGTCTAAAGTTCCAGCGTCTACCCGCCCAGGCGCCCAACTCGGCACCACACCACTCATTGACACGTGGAGAGCCATGGAGAAGTTGGTCGATGAGAAAAAAGTTCGCTCCATCGGTGTGAGCAACTTCCCTCTGATGCTCTTGCATGACTTTTGGCTCCAGGCACGTGTGAAGCCTGCCGTGAACCAGATCGAAGTGCACCCCTTCTACGTGCGCAACTCCCTCGTGAACTACTGCCTCAGCCGCAATATTGCCGTCACCGCCCACACACCCCTGGGTGGCGGCCAGGCGAACACTACGCAGTTTTCTGCGGCCGCCGCGCCCATGGATTCGCCGGAGATCAAAAGCATCGCAGAAGCCAAGGGCAAGAGCTGTGCACAGGTGATCCTGCGTTGGCTCCTGCAACGAAAGATCCAAGTCATCCCCAAGAGCACCTCCCCTGGACGCATGGCTGCGAATGCTGATCTCTTTGACTTCCAGCTGTCCCAAGAAGAGATGGATCAGATTAGCGCCCTGGACCGCTACCAGAGTGCCAAGACGAACCCAAATCCGATGTCGCACTTCCTCACAGGGCCCGATAGCTTTGAGAAGGGAGGCACCGATATCTTCGACTGAGGCGCCGAAATCTTTGACCAAGTGCTTGGCTTGGTTGTTTCATTGATTCAGTGGTTGTTTCACTGATTCAGTGATTGTTTCATTGATTCAGTGATTGTTTCAAAGGTCCAAATTGCTTTCAGACCGGCATCGATCTCGTTGATTGCCTCAAGTCTGCCGAAAAGAATAAAAGATCGCCATGGTCCACGAAGGGCCCTTGAGACATAGATGGTTTCAGTCATGATTGGGTAGTTGGGTACCACGATGGCAGTCTGAAAATCCCATGTCACCACGCAGCGTTTGCACTCTGAAGAGCTTAGTGGAAATGGTGTTTTTCTAGCCAAGAATTGCAACCACCATGACTTACAGGAACATCACGGAATATGTATGGGATTTGGAAGATTATGGTGTCCACAAGAAGCTTCCTGGTGAGCGCCAGCCAGTTTGCTCACTGCATGATACATGGCACTGAGTAAGTCAGTAGCAATGATGGTGTTCCAGGACCTGAGACGCAGTGGTTCATCCCATTTTTCAGTCACCAGTTGGTGGATACGAACATCACTTGTTCCTTACTGTATCTGTTGAATATCACCAGTTTATCTGACAGAAGCTTTCCAAGTTTTGGGGTTTAAATCCAACTCGCCAACTTTCGATGGTTAACATATGTTAACATTCAGCTTGGATATTCTGCGATATTTTGATGATCTATTTTGGACATTGATTTCCCGGTGTTTTGGCCGTCAAATCCCTGAAACCAGCCATGAGTCAGGCATGAGTTTCATGGGGAAAAGCTGCTTCTGCTTGAGGCTGGGCCAAGTCCCTGGTCAAGTCCAAGATCCAGCCGCTGGGTGACCCAAGGTGGGTCCAAGGTGTCCAAGGGTCCAAAAAGATGGAGTCCCACTGGAGACCTTGAGATCTTCAGGTTTTCTAGGTTTTTAAAATGTTTCCCAAGATACTAGGTCTTCTAGTTTTTTCCCCAAACAGTGTGTCCACACTGAGGGCTTCTTATGGCAGGAGATGGTGGGAGTAAAGGCCGGTGCTTGATCAGGGTGCTCACTCTGGGCTTCGGCATTTATCCTGTAAATTTCTGTAGAAAGCGGCTCTTGTGAAATCTTGACATGCGTTTCGCCCTTACAGGGTCGCACAAAATGTGTGTCTGCATTCCGGGCTCAATCTGGGGCGCGGCATTTTCCCTCTAAATTTCTGCATGAAGTGGCTCTTGTGAAATCTTGACATGCGTTTCGACTGCGCAGGCTCGCACAAAGTGTGTGTCTGCATTCCGGGCTCAATCTGGGGCCTGGCAACTTTCAGTATAAAGTGGCTCTTGTGAAATCTTGACATGCGTGTCGCCTGCGCAGGCTCGCACAAAGTGTGTGTGTGTGAGTGTGTGTGTGTGTCCGCGTTCTGGTCTCAATCTGGTCTGCGGCATTTTTCCTGTAAATTTCCGTTACAGTGAGTGGCTCATCATCTTCCTCCTCCTCAACATCATCATTCTCAACATCATCATCTTCCTTCCCCTTCACATCATCATCCTCAACTTCATCATCCTCCACCTCATCTTCCGCAACATCATCCTCCTCCGCCTTGTCTTCCGCAACATTATCATCCTTTTCATCATCGTCCTCAACATCATCATGATCTTCTTCCTTCTCAACATCATCATCCCGTACCTTGTCCTCCTCCACTTCATCTTCCACATTACCATCGTCGTCCTCATCCACATCATCATCCTCAACCTCATCCTCCTCAACATCATCATCCTCACCAACAACATCCTCAACATCATCAACCTCATCATCCTCAACATCAGCAACATCATCATCATCATCATCATCATCATCATCATCATCATCATCATCATCATCATCAACAACATCAACATCAACATCAACATCAACATCAACATCAACCACATCATCATCATCATCATCATCATCATCATCATCATCATCATCATCATCATCATCATCATCATCGTCATCGTCATCGTCATCGTCATCGTCATCATCATCATCATCATCATCATCATCATCTCATCGTCATCATCGTCGTCATCGTCATCGTCATCGTCATCATCATCATCATCATCAACAACAACAACATGTTCAACAACATTATAAGACACTATCCTCCTACTCCCCCCACAGTGTTTGGGTTCTCTTGCCGGGGTAATCTTTGAATGTTTCTGAAGATAACGATAGATATTGGAGAAAGTCTCCAATGGCTGGGGATACTCGAGATCATCCAAATGAAAATTAGACTGTTTTAGTCTAGTATTGAAACTCGTGTTTAAAAATTGCATCCTTCATTTTAAGAAACCTCCTAGATTGGACGCCCAGGCAGTTTCCACATTTCAGCCACATCCCAAGCCAGTTCCAAACCACTTTTTTATCCTCTTTGGGATGGGCCAACATTTCAAAAAAGCAGTAAACATCTTACAAAACGGAGTTTATCTGATTTTATCATCAGCTATCATTTATATGATTCTATCATCATCATCATCATCACCACCATCATCATCAAAATCAAACATCAATATGATTATATGATTTTAATAAATGGGACTTTCCCATAGAACAAACCGTTGAATTACTTGTTTTGGTCACCAAGTGACATCAAATGACCTGTCACACCATCTTCACAGATCTGGTCGATGCTCGCTTCGTATCGCAGCTCTCCCAGAGATCGAACCGTAACCGGTTGGTGGAGGATGTTCAAAAACTGGGATGTTATACAGAACATAAAACTGGGATAGTTGAAGAATATTCGTAAACTGTTATGAGTCTGTTTTTTTCCACACATGTGTCATATTTAAGAACAGAACTGGGATGATAATCCCCAATGACTATATAGTAATGTTATTTCAGGGGACGGGACGGACACCACCAACCAGTAATCATTGTGGTTGCAACGATGTCGTACTTGCCATGGCCCCGGCTGTTGCTACTACTGACACCTGCTGTGGCAACGGATGTGTCAACAGGCTGCCAGAATGACAGCGCTGAGTTGCTTCAAGTGGCTCTTCCCGAAACCTTTCCCTTCAAGGAAGTCAGGTCGGAGGAAACACGTGCCTCCAGTGATGGACCCCTTGGATCCTTTGTGCACTTTGAAGCTGAGCATCAGAATCTGATGAAGCTGCTTAACTTGAAGTTTGGTGCTTTCAAATATGGTATGTTTCTTTTCCATACCTGGGATGATCCCAATTTGACTCTTGTTTTGCGATGTTTCGGGAGTGCAGGAAGGATGTGATGATGACCTCCATGAGCGATTGGTACAGCTCTCGAGACTTGGCGCGTGTGGGGAAGCTGCAGAATGTCACCATCTCCAGCGGAACCACGGTGCAGATCTTCAGTGCCGTGCCGGTCTTCGGAGACGAATCGTACATCGCTCTGCTGGTGGAACAGGGAGGTCATTTGGTTGATGAATAGGGGGAGTATCCTATGGTATACTACCCTGAAATATATTATCCGATATAGTTTGGTTGATGATTCATGACTTAGATGCTTAGTTCGGGGTTGTACTACCCTTTATATTCATATTTGGGGGATTAGTCACAATCCAACTGAAAAATCCACTCAGGTGATGCTTGGAGAGGCAAGCCGCGAGACTGGTGGCCAGATCTTGATGCATTCGTCATGTTCTGTGCTGGGCCTGATGGGCACAGGACGCAGGTGGAGCCGCGTGGGCACTCGTGGATGTGTCCTTGGCCCCGCGAAGAATGGCGGACCAAACGATTTCACGTCGTGCTGGAGGACAAAGATGGGAAGAAACTCGGCACCGTTGTGGCAGAACATGAGCCAGAGCTCTTGGGGCACCTTGTCGGCAATATTTTGGTTTCTTTGTTTTTACATGTTTCAATGATTTTCAATTGCGGTAATTCCTACATGTACACCTGCCCTCGACTTTCCTTTCTTTCTTTCTTTCTTTCTTGCTTTCTTTTCTTTCTTTCTTTCTTTCTTTCTTTCTTTCTTTCTGTCTGTCTGTCTGTCTGTCTTTCTGTCTTTCTGTCTTTCTGTCTTTCTGTCTTTCTGTCTTTCTGTCTTTCTGTCTTTCTGTCTTTCTGTCTTTCTTTCTTTCTTTCTTTTTTTCTTTCTTTCTGTCTGTCTGTCTGTCTGTCTGTCTTTCTTTCTTTCTGTCTTTCTGTCTTTCTGTCTTTCTGTCTTTCTGTCTTTCTGTCTTTCTGTCTTTCTGTCTTACTGTCTTTCTGTCGTTCTGTCGTTCTGTCTTTCTGTCTTTCTGTCTTTCTTTCTTTCTTTCTTTTTTTTTCCTTTCTCTCTCGTCTTGGTTCATGTCAGATTTGGAGCAAAACACACTTTTTGGTACCTAAGCACTGTTTTGAATGTGAAATCCACTCGTTGTTTTGTTTCCTCCTTGGCTGATTTGCTTCAATCTTGGTTGACAGCGTATCCTGGCAGGTTGGAAGAAATCTGTTTGCATTGGCTGGATGACCTATGATTCTGAAAAGTTCAATCCCTGCACCGCAGATAAAAAACTATCAACTTTTACTCATGGAACTGACATGCACATAGACTTTTTTAGTCCTCCATAGATCAATCATGATTGCAAACATGTAAGAAACTGCTATGATGTCTACTGTTTTGTTGTCTTCGTGGTGGTGCGAAAATAGGAGCTAGAAGACTAGGTGTTTTTTTCATACGACAAATGTGTTTTATCCTGTTCAAAGCTGCATCCAAGATTTGCAACACCAACATGTGGAACCATTTTTTATGATAGCCACTGCAGAATAGAATAGTAGTGCCAATAGTGCCTTTTTCTATCTTAGTATTTGCTCATGATTGGTTTCAAGTATTCTATTGATTTGGTTTGTCTAGTTTGTCTTTGAACAGAGTGTTGAATTCTTCATAAGTGACACTATTCATCCACCCTATATGCTTGCTATTTTTCATGGGCATGTGTTTCATATACAGGGTCACTTGATATAGAAGCATATAGAAGCCCCTTTCAGACAATCATGACAGCCCAAATAATCATTGATCTTTTCCAGGGTATGATTCAATTTGATTAAACACATCAGTTGCCTTGACAACACCAAATGAATCCAAATGAACAATTACCTTGATGCTGGCTTAAGGCTTAAGGTTTTCTTTCAGGCCTTTGAGTTGGATTTCTCCAATTGTTGGTCTCCGCAAGGGGTGGCTATGTATCGATCACAAAAACGAAACACGCTGTGACCAACAAATCATGTGCATATCTGTCACTGCATGTACGAACATGCATAATGTCTAGAATTTTCCCTGTTCTCCCAACCATGTCGGCTGGTTTCAGGCAATACGCAACGATGGCATGTGTCCGGGACATTTTCTACATGCCAACTCCGAGAAACCATGTACAAGGCGGGCCGTTCAGCGGCCCTTTCAAGCAATGGATCGAATGGATGGAATGGTCTTCCATGCATGGTCTGGAACATTTCCTAATCTACACCTTTGAGGGCACTGATTTGGCTACAAAGGATCTTATGACACCCTATCTTGATGCTGGCATTGCAAGCAGAGTTCATTTCCAGTTTTATCACCGCAGCAATCTCGTTCGCTTTGGGCGCCTCATGAATGATTGCATCTACCGCGCAAAGAATCATGCAAAATGGCTGGCAACAAGCGTGGATGTGGATGAGTATATGGTGTTCCCGGGTAGAGTAAAGTATTTCAACTGGGACCACATCCTGAAAGAGCAAGGCAAGGTGTCAAACTCATGAAACATGTTTTCGCTAGAGACCAAGACCAAATTGTGTTCCGATCGCATTTTTTGCATGTTTCTATTCTCCTTTAGTGTCCCCATTTGTTTCACTGAAGGAGTTTCGGAGGACAAGGTTGCCAGTCTTGAACTTGCACGGGTTCGTTTTGCACGAGCACGTCCCGAAACGTACGAGATTTCATCCGACCACCGGGTTCCGAGCCTTGATGAACGGCCAAAGCAAGTCATCAACGTTGAAAACGTCTACCGCACCTCTATCCATTGGCTGACATGTTCCAAGAATGGCACTGACATGATACATGTGGATTCAAAACTTGCAATCATCAACCACTACAGGATACCAGAACAAATGCGGACGGGCGACTATTACCATTTTAACTTTCAAGATCCTTATGCCACGATGAAAGATGAAGGGCTTAGTAAGGAGATGCCTCTGTTGGAAACAGCTCTCGCGAAAAGGTTCAACATCCAAACGGCAGATGTGAAAGATTTTCTGAAGAACCTGGCGCAAAGACATCCGCCAGCGACAGACATTGCAGCTGCACACCACTTGTGATTTGGTAATTTGGCTGGACCTTCAGCGCGTTTCCGGAAACAAAAAAACTGTTGAATCTCTGAGTCATTTTGGTCTTTAGGGCTACAAAAATCTACTACGCATGGCTGAAAAAGTGAGATGTTGTTTTTTTTGTTATTTGCTAAGACGAGTTGGTTTCTAAACCAGAGGGGGGATCAGTGTTTCTACTCGGCGGTACTAGTTTTATTTCTTTGATGGGGGTATATCTGGGTCAGCCACTCTGATAGTCAGGGGAAGCATGCAAGCAGTATATACCTAAGGTCCATGATTCCTTGCAGAAAAAGCTCAGGTTTTAAAGCGTAAGAAAATGTAGCCTCTGGCAATCAAACGTGGCAATGGGACATCCACCATTTAGTTCGATGATCTTCCCAGCTATAAACCTCCATCAATAAAGGATATGTTCCATCATGTTCCATCATTTTCCGATGATTTTCCATAGATGTTCCCATGTTTTTCCTCTGATTTATGGCAGATGTCCGCTGTTGACCACACCCAAACAATGTCAGCCGCCTGGTCACCGGAGGCTCGGAGGGCAAAGATTTTATCCTGGAGGCGGCCATGGGGAACCCCAAGAGCTGGTTAAAAATCAGGGAAAACCATAGGAAAACCATGGAAAATCCTATTTAAATGGATGATTGTTTGGGGTACCCCCATGATTGTCAATAGGATTCAATCATTAGGATTCAATCATGAGTATCATTAGGCATTTTCCATGAAATAAATGGATCCATGATTTTCCATGAAATAGACAGTTTCCATGATTTCCTATTAAAATGGATGATTTTTGGGGTACCCCATGACTTAAGAACCCCCTAATATCCCCAATTTCATCTCAGTAGTACAGCTTGGTGAATTGCTGTTTCACCATTTGATCCATGGCTGTCTGGACGATGGGGAATAGTCATCTCATTTCTGTGGCCCTTCAGCAAGCCTTCTCAGGATTTCCACCGAGATTTTCGCACCACCGGTGCGGAGCCGCAGAGGTACAACATTGAAGTCCCAGCATTGGAGAAATCTGTGGGGTTTCCCCCATATTTGATGATAAAAACAAGTGGTTTCCTGTAGAATTCCCTTAAACTAATCCATTCATGGAGAAAAAACATGTTTGGCCGTCGGTTTTCTGACCATATTTAGACTTTTGGTGATCGAACCAAACGTATCAAAAGATGATATTTGGACACGCCCAATTCCATGTTGAAATTTCACGGCCGTACAACATCAAACTCCAGTTTTAAACCTAGGTCGACATGTTAGGTCGACATGTTTTCTAATTGTTACATATAGGTTCTATTGTGAATGCATGTATGTGCAATCAGGTCTACATTATATAATGTTATTATATTATATTACATAAACATGTGTAATTATTTGTATATATATATATATACATGTTTCATGTACCCCTCTTGTGTATCCCACAAGTGGATTAACATGCTTAGCAGGCATGTGACCTCGCTGGCCTTTCCTTGGTGAAGTCATGTGGTTGAACGCTGGTTGAACGATGGTTGATTGTGCTGAGGGGGGATTCCTAGATCATTTTACACTCGTAAGCAGTCATAGCTGCCCGAAACCAACTCGTTTGTTGTTTCTGAAGCACGGGACTACAAAGGCATGGATTCGTACCAGTAGCTGTTCAAAGGGACTACAAAGGCTAGTATCGTTTGTTGATTTTTGAGAATCTTTCCAATTTGTATTTATTGGCTACCCAGAATGAGTAGTCGTATCCTGCGTTAAGTCGTGGCGTTTGACTTACTAAAGCTTCAAGTCTTGAATCGAGCAGTGGAATGGTGTAAAAACACGCCTTGCAGAGGGGGATTCAACACCGTTACATTTTAAAAATGTTTATAGTTTGACTTGAAAGATGAACAAGTCTATAGTTTGAGTGTGGAAAGCCCTTTCCTGACATCAAGTCGGATCAAGTGTACAAAACCATTGTGGCTTTGTTCAAGAAAGCGTGGATTTAGGGATTCCATGTCATTCTACCATCGAAAATCATGCTTAAAATCAGGTTTTAAGCCATGGGATGATGGGATACCCCGTGACTCTGAGTTGAACCTCCCGTCAAGTGTTGTGGTTTCGTCCGCGGTGACGTTGGGATCTACATTGCTATATTATATGTATGATGCACGTATGGTTAGTATCAAGAGGATCTCGCGGCCTGGGGGTTGACTTCATTTCATAGCTCTTCCCATCACCCCAGCACCACGGGGGCTGAGGTGAGAAACATCGCGTCGCGATGTCAAAAGTGCTCGCAAGGGTGCAGCAAGGGTAGTGGTTCAGTACCCCAAAAGAGCAACCTTTGGGCTCCCGGAAAGTTGTTGGCTGTGGAAGACATTCCGATGGATCAGCGACACGAGCCCAGCATTTGGGTACAACCGCAACTCTTCAAGAAAGCTAATTGAAGAATTTTGAACCATGGCAGACATGGTGGACCCCACTACGCCATGATACCCAGCCACTGAAATCAACTCGGGCCCCTAGGGCAGAGTAAGGAAACTCTTTTGTGATATCCCCATCAAATGGCAATGGAAACCATGGGGGTTCCAACATGTTCAGACAGAACCCAACTACTATTTATATTTCCAATTGGCATGGTGTGAAACTCGGAGTTTTGCAGCTCATCATATCACCAGTTCCTATTCTTCTGCGTGCCGTGCACGTCCGCAGCTGACCGAGCTGCTCGTGCCATTCTGTTTGGTTCCTGTGAAGAGCATGGGCGTCTTTGGCCGAGCAGAAAAAAAGAGGAAGGCCCCGGGTGGATCAAACTGAGCTTCAGTTCCACGACTTGGAAACTGGAAGCACGTCAAATTTTAGACAGTTGAGGATGTTCATGCAGATGATTTGTTTTAAGAAAACCGGGTTCAACAATTCGCAGATGATCTGGTTGGTTAAACCTTTGTGGATCCGTGAATCCCCAACATTTGGTTGGTGACAAACTCAACCCCTGGCAGGTCAGCAAGTGGGTTGAGTCCGCGGCACGTAGCTCTATTTGGGGAGGCCACAATGCAGATGAGATTGACCCTTGGGGTCATGGCAGGGGAAACCACAGATATCCAGAGATTTTTCTCGGTGCTTCACTGGTTTCCTGTGGTTTCCCGTATGAGTGGTAGTTGGATGGTCGGTGGTTTAACCTCAATGATTTCTTCGTCCAAATGGGTATAGGATGTGAATCAAGGGAGTCGTGAAGTGAAAGGCATCCATATTCCCCTTTTCAAATGAGCCCGGGGACGCTACGAATTGAGTTCCCCACATGACAATTATTCGCTTTTTGACACCAACCACAATGGGGATGTTATGGTGATATCATGGACATATGTTACTGTAACAAATGGTGGAGATGAGATATCCTTTTTGGGGGATTTAAGAAGCAACATAATTGAGATTGAATAGGGAAGTAACGGGAAGTAATGGAGATGTAATCCGATATGATGGTTTTGTCCAAAATTCGAGTACAGTTTGATAGAGTATATATGCTCGAAAATGCCATTTGAAAATGGAGAACATTAGGTTTTAGACAATTGGAGAACATGGTGGTAGCTGAATTTCGGGAAACCATCCCGGAAGAAATGGCAGCTTCCCCCTGAAATAGCAACGTTGGAGCAGGCCATTCCATTGTTTCCCCTCGCAGCCAAAGCTCGCAGCCAAAGGATTCCATCAACACCCTTGGGGGTGTGGTTAGCGCCTTGGCGCTGTCCTTCGTGTTGGGCTTGCAATACATGGTCGCACCCGGTACGGACGAGATGCAGTACGCGGACTTCCGCAGCATGCTCTGCAAGAGCCAGGAGCCTGCGGAGCTGACAAAAGGGGATGGGTCAGTTGATTCAATGCTTTAGAAACTGAGATTTAAAAAAAACATGCACCCCAGTTTTTGCCACTGGACATGCGGACATGGTCCATCTCGAGCCGGATTCAGATTCCGACTTCAGGGTCTGATTCCCATTACCTCCCATTGCCATCTTTTTGGAATGCACGCATTGACCGCAGGAGTTCAGAAATTACGTCATTGATGTCTTCAAGACCGAAGACATCGGCAAGCACAGGGAGGCTAGGCTTGGCTCAAAATCACGACCCTCAAGGCCACAGGGAGGTGTCCTAAGTTATGGGGCTGCCCAAATCATCCAAGTCGTTAGTCCATTTGAGGAACCCATGGTGACTTGGGTACCCCTCATTTTAAGAAACCCCCAAATGGCAACATGAGATCTCCCATGAGATGTGCCCTGGAGGAATCCTTCAATTTCACCAAAATGATCCGGCTCAACACCTACATGGACTGGCTCCTGGGTTTGAGATGCAATGTTTCCATAAGATTGACAACATCGATCCAATCATTTTTCGCATATTCCCTGCGGACATTAGTCATAACCGATCCTCAGCGTGTTTGTTGACCCACATGCTTGTTACTGTGTTTCTTGGTCAACATCCCCATCTTCACAAGGTCTATGTTTGGCAACATCTATCCAAATTCAGCTTTCCACTGACTGAAACTCCACCAAAGCCATCCAGGACACCATGTTTTTCTTTTGTGACATTTCAACTTCCGTTTTTGGCCCCCTTCCCCACATTGCCAGGAGATTTCCTCCCCACGCCGCAGGACATCGAGCAGTTCCTGCGGACGGAGGTCGCCCACCGCTACGGGGAGGCGGACGGGCCGCAGAAACACATCGCCTGCATTAGCGACAAAGACGTGGAAACGGCCGTGGCCTTCATGGCTGTAGAGTTTCCCATGGAGCACCTGCGCGCCTTTGTGTTGCAGATCCTTGGGGAAATGGGGAGACGAAAAAAACTGGGGATGGTATATATTATATAGTCTTGTATAATATTACCCACAGACACCGTGTGTTGCCCAGACCCACAACTGACACGTTAGATGTTGTTTGATGATGTTGTTTGATGATGATGATGATGATGATAATGATGATGATGCTGCTGATGATGATGATATTATTATCGGCAACACGCGGTGGCTGTGGGCTAGTTCTAAGATATGGAAGATATGGGATCTAACATGTAAGATATCTTCATATCATCATGAGGTAGTAAAATCACGCCACTCCCTTGAACTCTATATTGATATGGGATCTAACATGTAAGATATCTTCATATCATCATGAGGTAGTAAAATCCGCCACCCCCTTGAACTCTATATTGATATGGGATCTAACATGTAAGCTATCTTCATATCATCATGAGGTAGTAAAATCCGCCACTCCCTTGAACTCTATATTGATATGGGATCTAACATTTAAGATATCTTCATATCATCATGAGGTAGTAAAATCCGCCACCCCCTTGAACTCTATATTGATATGGGATCTAACATGTAAGATATCTTCACATCATCATGAGGTATCAAAATCTGCCACCCCCTTGAACTCTATATTGATATGGGATCTAACATGTAAGCTATCTTCATATCATCATGAGGTAGTAAAATCCGCCACTCCCTTGAACTCTATATTGATATGGGATCTAACATGTAAGATATCTTCATATCATCATGAGGTAGTAAAATCCGCCACCCCCTTGAACTCTATAATGATATGGGATCTAACATGTAAGATATCTTCATATCATCATGAGGTATTAAAATCCGCCACTCCCTTGAATTCTATATTGATATGGGATCTAACATGTAAGCTATCTTCATATCATCATGAGGTATTAAAATCCGCCACCCCCTTGAACTCTATATTGATACGGGATCTAGCATGTAAGATATCTTCATATCATCATGAGGTAGTAAAATCCGCCACCCCCTTGAACTCTATATTGATATTAGATATGGGATCTAACATGTAAGCTATCTTCATATCATCATGAGGTATTAAAATCCGCCACCCCCTTGAACTCTATATTGATACGGGATCTAGCATGTAAGATATCTTCATATCATCATGAGGTATTAAAATCCGCCACCCCCTTGAACTCTATATTGATACGGGATCTAGCATGTAAGATATCTTCATATCATCATGAGGTATTAAAATCCGCCACCCCCTTGAACTCTGCTTTGTGACTCAACATGTTCATCTTCATCACCATCATCATCATCATCATCATCGTCATCATCATCATCGTCATCATCATCGTCATCATCATCATCATCAAGATCAAGATCAAGATCAAGATCAACATGCCGGGAACGTCCTTGTAAATCTCCGGGCAACACAGGCGTCTGGCCGTAATATTATAGTGGGTTGAAAGGATGGATGTGGGATACAGATGAACATTGGGAGATTTTGGAGAAACAGCTTTGAAGGCTTTAAGGTTAGGGGTTGGAGCGTTCCATTTTGAGGGAGTGCGATGTGTGCGTGTGTTTGTGTGTGGGAATTCAGAGGCGAAACATCATGGTGTTTCATCATTTCTCACGATGGAAGTTGGGAGGAGAGTTTGCCATCGAATCACCAGGATGGTTGTTTCCTAAAATGGGGGACCAATTAAAACCAGCGGTTTCCCAATTGGGTGTTTTTTGTCGGGTCTCCCATTTCAGGAAAGCCCCATATCTATGGATATCTGGGTTTGTCCAAAGCCCAAAAAATTGTTCATTTAGATCCGGAAAACCGATGAATTTGATGATCATCCGTTGAACTTGGTGCCACACATTTTCACAACCCAACCAGATCCCTGAGAGAGGTGCCACGTCATCATCTTCAAATCACTGGCCACACATGTCGGTATACCAATCATTGTTGGTGAGTGGTAACCCCGTGATGTATTTATATATATATATATGTATATTATATATATATACATATGTACACTTAATTATGTATGTAATATATATATATATCATATACAATATATACGTGTATAATATGTGTATATATATACACAATATACATATATATATATATAAAGACTCGGTGTTGGCTTTGTATACCGCAAATCTAGCTTCAAAGGTACGGAAATGGATGTAACTTGTATCAATAATAGAATCATATCATTAACGATCAACACAGACTCATTGGGCATCTCTCTGACCAATGTTTATGCACCACATGCAGGGCTCACATCCCAAACCAAGACGGATTTCTATGATTCCCTAGCCCATTTAGTAAGACAACAACCACCACATCAAATTAATCTGATATTGGGTGATTTCAACTTCAACGCAAGATTAATGGAAATACTCCCTGGAGAAAGAATGATTCTTGGCCAGTTTATTTATCGTGACCCTGAAAGCGCAATCTCGAATCTTTCGAGTGGACAAATTGAGAATCGAAATCATAGACCTCTGTTTACAAGAAACATGTTTACCGGCAAATACTTGGTTCTGCAAACCGACCGCTAGAATTGTGACACGGCTTACAGGCAACTTCTATAAAACGATAGAAAAATAAATTGAGCTAAAAAAAACAAAACTAAATCCAAAAAAAGAGCAAAACCCAATCCAAACCTCAATTAGAAAATTGTTTTCTTCTTTGTTTTTTTTTTGTTTTTTTTTTGCTTTTTTCTAATTGAGGTTTGGATTGGGTTTTGCTTTTTTTTGGATTGGTTTTCGTTTTGTTTTTTTTAATTCTTTAGAAGTAGGCTGAAGGCATTTCACAACGCTAGATTGGCTACATACCGTATCCCCACTGTACCAACTTTTAATGTATCAAACATAAACACTACACATTACGCTCAGATGGATTATATTCTGATCAATGACCGATGGAAAAATGCCATAACTGATATCATAAATATACAGGATACGCTTCTTGACTCAGACCATTCTTTAGAACCAAAAAAGAATCACGGCCAAGGTATAGGAAACCTTCTATAACCAAGCAGTGTCACAATATTTGGGTACCATGGCGAGGTCGGATCCATGCATTGATTTTACGCAATCACTTCAACTGGCAGCAAAGCACACTTTGACAAAAATCCCCACGACACAAAAAAAGGATTACATTTCTGCAGACACGTGGAAACTTATTGAAGAAAAGAGGCGGCAATCGCGGCAGGAGACTACGCTAGAAGCCAAGTTCTGTCGCCTATAATCAAAAGGATGGCAAGAAAAGACCGGGAAAACATGATTCTTGAACAGCTACAGGCGGCCGATGCGCAGGGTTATAAATGGGAAGGACTCAAAGCAGCACGAAAAACATTTCAACCCAAACGAGTCAAATTTAGAAATGCAGAAGGTAATTTAATTAAAGAATCCGATTTTGCATCAGAAGCAGCCAGATACCTTTCCGAAGTACAATGGGCCCCACCCAACCATGCAGAGTTAAATGCCGACTATGAAAGTCAAAAATTGTACAACGGAGGCAACACGATGATCGATTCCAACTTTTCACTACAGGAACTTAACAAAGTCATCGGTGCACAGAAGAACAACAAAGCGCCAGGACCCGACAATTGTACAGCAGAACTCATCAAATGGTTAGACCAGGATAATCGAGGCAAGCTCCTAGATATATACAACAATATTCTTGACAGCGATGTATATCCAGAATTGGCAAACATAGTTTCGATTTTTTAAAAATGAGATGCCACTAAAATGCAGAACTACCGCCCTTTATTTGCTGCGATGATTAAGAATCGTCTATTGCAAACTTATGAACCCTGAGTACAAACCAGGCAATTTAGCTTCAGACCAAAGAAATCCACTTCACAAGCCATTTTTTTAGCCCGCAGACTCATGGACATTTCAGAACGCACAGGGACCAATCTAACTATCACACTATTAGATTGGAAGATGGCATTTGACAAAGTTGACCAACAAAAAATACTGCAGGTATTGAGAAGACTTCAAGTTCCACCACGGATGTTGCAAGCTACCACACATATTTACTTCAGCCCACAGTTTCGTGTATCTGCTGGACACACAGAGTCTGAATATCTAGTTCAACGTTCAGGAATAAGACGGGGATGTCCTTTATCACCTTACTTATTTGTTCTCCTTATGGCAGCCATGTTTAGCGACATCAAAGCACGCCTCAACACACCAAAACAACGAGAACCAATCGAAGGAATTCAATGCTCTGAGGTACTTTATGCTGACGACACGCTGATTTTTGGCAACTACACTTACCATATCAACCTACTACTGAAAGAAATACAAACGGAATCCCGCTATTACAATATGGAACTAAATTTGGATAAATGCATCAACTTAACCTTGAACCGAAAGCAATCTTCGATCAAATTCGCAGATGGATCCCTCGTACCCCGCAAACATACAGCCACATATCTCGGTACCCTCCTTACAGATAATGTTGATTTAAAAAAAAGAAGTCATGAATCGCATTGCAGACTCAATCCGCACTTGCAACAGACTCAAACTGTTTTGGACCAAAGCGCAAAACTCCATTCCATGGAAAAATCAATCAAGCTTTTCATTCAATCCTTCGGAGTAAGCTTTTATATGGGTTGGAAACTATCCAACTTAACCAGTCAGAACTTCATAGATTAGATGCTTTTCAGATCAAAGGATATCGGAGAATTCTACATATCCCACCCACAAGTGTTGACAGAACAATGACCAATGCATCGGTAAAAGAACTTATCAAAAGTCATTATTGTGTAACAGTTATAGAATTCTCAAAACTATGGTTGAAAAGAAAAATTCAACTCTTAGGACACATCATTCGATCAGACCCACAAGATCCCATGCGTCAGGTGCTTTTTCTACCTAATTCACTCATACCTAGAACTGAACATGCAAGACGAGTAGGCAAACCCAGAGCTCACTGGCTAATCGAAACCTATGCAGATGCTTATAGAGAAAGTGGTCACGTAGATCAGTTTGACATCAACAACATTCTTCAAAGAAATTTAGTTAACGAATTGGCCCAGCAAAGACTCAACATTTTTTCCTGACACTCCATAGCACACCTCTGCACCGAAAGTTTCATCACCGAAAGCTTCGTCACCGAAAGTTTTCATCACCGAAAGCTTCGTCACCGAAAGTTTCGTCATCGAAAGTGGGCATATTCCCGGCCCGGCCTCAGAAATAATAGATGTCTACACACCCCTTTTGCTCCTTTTGCTTCTGTTCCTCCCCCCCTTGTTTGATAATTTGATCTTTCCCTCCTATTCCGTGATTCAGTCAAAAAGCAATCATGGTGCTGCAAGGTTCCCAAGCTCAGTTTCATTCTGCGAAGCAGATAGCTAACAGTTGGATTCTGCACTCAGCTGCAGCTGCGGCCTGTGCGAAGCATATATATATATACATATATTACAATAATAAATAATTAATAATTATTTATAACATATAATATATAATATAAATATAAATATACATGTCTCCATGATCTCCCCACCTGGCCACTACCGCTCTGAGGACGGGGGACTTCTACCGCTGGTCCAAGGTCAGTGAGAGCATCGGCGGCATGTGCGCCGCGCTGATCTTCGCCTCGCTGCTGTGGAGCATCATGCTGAATCTCAGCCTGGCGCTGGCCCCCGTGCGGGAGGACTCCACGGGAACTGCCCTGGTGGCCTGGTTGATGATTGGAGGACTGGCCTTAAAAGGCTAAAAAACGGCTGGGAAAAATGGTGGAAACATGGTGGAGAATGTTGAGACAAAGTGCGGTTGGGAGGGTTTTGGATTGGGTGGCAGTTTGAGATTGAGTGGAAATTTGGAAGTGGAAAGGGCATGATGTTATTTTTTGATGGGAGCAGGGAAGGTGAGATCAAGCTAGATGCGATTTGGAAAGTGTCCATTTCGAATTTTGATGGTAGTTTTCAGCATATGAGGGCAGCGTTCCGGACTCTAGTTTTGGCAATGCAATGCATCCATCATTGACAAATGGCAGCTGAGGTTTTGTAAGGCCTGAGGGAGCGGTCTGCAAAGCCATGCTCTCAGGTTCATGAGCTTAAAGGCTTAAAGTTTCAATGAAATCTGAGCAACCACCGCGGATGGTTCTATGTCCAGACACCCCGGCCAAAACAAGCAATTTGCGCGACAAAACGGATCACGACATTGCCGTGGCCAGCTTTGTTTGGTCCCAAATTAATTGGTGATGCATATCATATCAGATTGCCAGTCTCATGAGCAATGGTTCCAATGTGGCAAACACCAAATTCATAAAAGCCAACATGCTTAAACTAGGTATGGCTTAATACTGTTTTTTGTCACCAAAATTCACTGGTCTGGATTATGGCTCTTGCTGTAGAATTACTTATCCCCCGACACTTCAATGTTTCTCACCGTTGTTCTTTATCGCCAGTCATGAATCAACGGATTGATGACTTGCTCTGCAATCCTGGGGCTGATAGGATGATAGATCATCCCAGGGTTTTATCTGGTTGCATTTTTTCTAAGCATGGGCAAATTATAACGACCTCACTGCGACCGAACCCTGGAATCATGGATGATAAGAAATGGCCGCAAGTTTCAGGTTAGTGAATTATTTTAATTTGCCCAGATCCTATATTTCCTTTCCGGTGAAAAAATCAAAGATGTCAAAGTCCCAGTGCCTGGGAGGACCTACCATGATGGTCAATTACCTCTTCCTCCTGGTGGGTTTAATTGCATTCTTCTTCACCCATGGCCGGATGCTGGTGGCCTTGAGCCCCTTTGTTGGGGCAACCATGAGGACTTTACTGACTTCAAAACTCTCAGCTTGGTTTTGAGTGGAACGACATCCACCAACAAGAGATGGTTTCAAATAGCAGGATGGTGGAATTCCATCATCAACTGTTTCCTGCTTCTGGTGACGCTCGCAGATGTCTATCTGAGTGGTCCATGTCATGAAAAAGTGAGTCGTGCGTGCCAGGAATACAGTGGATATCTCCCTCTTCGCCATCTTGCTCCCGGTCTTTGTGATCGGACTGGTTTTAGGCGCGCCTGCGAAGATTTGGTGAGATTTGGAGAAACAATTGGGGGGTTGAACATATGTACCTTTGCTGCGTCCCACAATGGGACATATTCGAAAGAGGAGGAATTTGAAGGTTCTGATGTTTAGGGTCAGTTCCCTACCAAGTTGAGGGTTTTGTGCTGAATCGTTACATTGGTAAAGCAATAGTATATAAACCACCCATGTTTTGATCTTTAATACCACTTATTCATAGTAAAATTGGAAATGTGTGTTATTACTTTACCAACATTCGTCCCTTTGACTTGCCAGCTGCATTCAAACAAGCCACCGAGAGCCACCATACGGCAGGCATAGGTGCCACCATTTGGTCAGCTCGAAACTCGAAGGAGGTCGCGAAGGAAGAGGCTTCAGAGTCGACAGGCGCTAAAGCGGCCGGTGATGCGGATGCTGTTCCCATTCAGATTGAGGACAAGTTGCAGAAACTGCCGGAGACACGGGAGAAGGAGGAGAGTATTGTGGATGTGAAGGAGACCAGGATGTAGGTGGTACAAATCCATGAACTATGGGTCAACTTCACAAAATTTGCAGACTTTGCCACATCTTCCCACATGAGAAACGAATCAAAACAGAATTCAATTGATATGGCATCCTCTGCATGACCATCAGGTTCGTTTCACATGGTGGTTTGCTTAGTCAGCGAAAGCAAAGTCATGACACGCAATGGCTTTGATCTTGAGTTACAAAGATGATACTTGACTTTGAACAACAAAAAGAATGGATTGCCTGACAAAAGTACAGCACATGTTAAATAAGGAATTATCATATAATTTCCTCAAACTTAAGCTCCCGAAGCTTTTTCAGTTGATATTGGGAAGATCCAAAAAACGATATCCATAAACATTTATTTAGCAACTATTTTAGGTTTCCTAGGATATACACCTCCATTTACAAGACATTTCCCGACTAAAACACACAATTTGGAGAGCATCCATCCGTCGAAGTACCATCCGAAACCTTTCAGACCTGTTTCAAACCCTCGGTTGGGGGCCTTGTCAGTCTTGGCAAAGGAAACAATAAAGGAAGAAAAGAAAAAAACAATAAAAACAAGTATAGTAAAATTTATTGATGTATTTTCAAAGGTTCTGCCTAGTGGGTCGGACGATTCTAATTTTCAATGCAATTTGAGAAAGATTCTAAAAATAATCACTTGCATTTTACAGGTTTTGTCCGGGGATATCTCAGCAGATATTTAATTGTTCACCGAAAACCTTGAAGTGTTCAACTAAAAACAAAAGCTAAACGTTCCAACAAGAAAGAAAATTCCTTCTAAACGGAGGTTCTATTGAGAAAATCTCTTGTAAATGGATGTTTTAGAGGCAAAATCCTTTCCAAATGGAAATTTTAGTGGGAAAATCCCTCGTAAACAGAGGTTTTAGTGGGAAAACATTTTCGCGTAGCTACCGTGTGGACTGCAAAGAATACAAAGATAATTTATCTTCCACGACCTAGTTAAACTTCAAACTAGGCCTTCTCGAAAAGCCTGGTTAAACCAGGTCCTGGACCGAGTTTTCCTTTAAAGTAAAACTAGGCCCCGCGACTTGGGATCAAGTATGGTCATGTCCTGATTAAACATCTATATAAAGGCTGATCAACAATCATGAACATCCGTATGAATACAGCATGCTGCAGCATGCTAAAAAAACCATACTGTATAGGGATCATAGGGCTAGAGATATGCTAAGATATGTAAATTGCATTTCAGGGACATCATCATATGTATGAAGAATTTCCCTTCCAGACCTCACCCATCTAGATTTTAGAAATCACTCTTCAGCCGGATTAGCAAAATGAAAACAAACCAAAAAAAACAAGAAGCAAATCATCAGATTGTGGCTGGAGTTATCCAAGAATAGCCAAGACCTCCCATCAACATCATGATTGCGTAACAAAATGAAGTGCAGCGATTCTGAACAACATTACATCTGATGAGGTACGAGTAAAAAGAAATGTTGCCTGCTACTTGTCAGGGTGCCACCGGTTTGAAGGATGGCAGCTGTAAGTTGTCCGGTATTCGCTTGATCTGAAATTGTCATGGGTGATCTGAAAATCTTTTCTTCACGGTTTCTGCAGATTGTAACAAAAATACACAAACAACGCAGAACCCAAAAATGTGAGAAGACCGTCAAAAACTCGTGAAAAGGCGGTGAAAAACATGCGAATTTCCACATGTGGATAAATCTGGTTTTGGCATTCTGGAGTGGGATTCCACATTTCTACTTGTGAATGTGCAATCAAATTGATACGCATGTTGTGCATTTGAGCTTGTTGAGAGCCTCTGTAGACTCAGATTCATGCTCATTCCTTTTCAGCCAACGGTTTAATTTCTTTGCTGCTCCTAATTGGAGCCGAAATAGCAACTGTTAGTAATACTCCCAAGAAAGCTAAGGAACCAGCTGCCGCAGCAGCTTGCAAGTTAGAACTCACCGAGAATTTAGCTTTACAGACTTGACAAGGATTGATTTTTTGGCCGGCTGTGGGTTTTGCTAATTTCACTTTGCCAATCTGTGAGGTATGAATAGTGCATGTTTTGCTGGAGCTAGCACAGCTAAAAAAAGCAAGCTAACCATATCTAACCATGACATGACAATGCCATAAAATGGCCATGGAATAAATGCGCTTTGAGTTAAGTACATATATTCTTTGCTTGGATATACCTTTTCTTTGAGATTTGGAAGCCATAATACTATGACAATCTAAATGGATATGAATGGAAACGTCAAGTGATTCCTTACTCCTTGGGCAATGTTTGTCATGGTTTGCTCCCGCGGGAGAGTGTCACCACTGGCATTTTTCCTGCTGTCAGCCCACTCAGCCCAATGTCCGGCTGTGGGAATACTCTTGATAGATTTGAGACTAGTGGAATTTATTCAAAATTACGCGGTCGATATATTAAATATTATTAAATAATTATTTTAAAAAAATATTATGAATAAAATAAATATTTGAAATCAAATATAAAATTATTTGAGAAATTAAATTATTTATATATTTAAAATAATTATATATAAAATAAATAAATAAAATAATACATATATTATAAATATTATAATTATATAATTTTTTATAAATTATATTATTTATTAATATAATAAATTTTAAAAAATTAAATAAATAAATATGTAATATATTTTTTTTATTATACATTATAATAAATTTATATTAATAATTATAAAAAAGTATTTAATAAGACGGATGTTCGAAATTAAATTAAATTTTATTAAATATGATATTTATTTGTTTTTAACCGATTATATTTATGGTTTATATTATAATTTTTCTTTTAAACGGAATTGGGGGTAAATGAAAAAATAGAATAAATATATATGTATATGATATTTGATTTTATTTTTTAATAATTAATTATTTATATCGAAAAAATTAATAATTTAATAAAATAATATAATATAGAATTTAAATTTAAAAAATATATTTAAAAAATATATATATATATAATATTAAATAATTTAAAATCTTATAATAAATATATATAATATTAAAAAATTATAATATTTGATTTTTGTGTATCTAGAGTTATCTTAATTTCGATAAAATGATTTATAATTATGAAATAATATGGAATGATTTCGTACTAATCCTAAATTTACAATTTTTTGCGGTGGACTGCTTTTTTACGAAATCGTTTGGCCTCGGATATATTTACTAGGTTTTATTTTCCTGTGGATATTATATATGAAAGCCTTTAATTGCAAAATATAATTTTAAAAACTAATACCCGCAAGATTGCACGCTTTAAGTTCCTTTTTACATACGATGACAATATTTAAAAAAAAAAACTATTTCTTGTTTGATTTATATTCTTTGAGAACGAAATCGGCAGAGGAAATTCGCTTTCAGATCTAAATAATTCCCGAGGTAAATTAAAATTTATATAATTGTTAAATTTTCTTTGGATAAAAATTACAAAAATAAATAATTTCCAAATTATTTAATTTTAAATTTATAAATTTTAAATTTATATATTTTTTAAATTAATTAATTTATATTGGTCGCATGATTTCCTTTATTTATTTCTTATTTGTTTTTTATTTGCCTTCCACTTGTCTCGCACTCTGTGTCCGGTTGATTTCCTTTACTTGTCTCCCATTTGTTTTTCATTTGTTTTATTTGTCTCCCATTCTGGGTCGTATTGGTCGCATGATTTCCTTCATTTGTTTTCCATTGGTTTTTCATTTGTTTATTTGTTTCCCACTCTGGGTCCGGTTAGTCGCATGATTTCCTTCATTTATTTCCATTTTTTTTACTTTGCAAGGCAGCCAAGAGGTACAAGACCCTCTTTTCTCGGGCCAGGAAAAGTCTCATGCAAGTGAAGTGAAATGCTATGCAAAACGACATGTATGCAGGGGTTTCTCTGTACGGCAAATGGTTTACACCCTGCCTTTTCTGAAATAAATTTCGTTTTGAAGTTTCATGAAGAAACCTATCCCACTCAGCCTCGTTGAGCATCATCGTACTCATCGTGCATTGGTGGGTCTTTCATCGTATTGGGCTCTGTTGCTTTTCCTTTTCCTCCTGTCTTTCCTTTCGATCCCTTTCCATGGGTTGCAGCCGGCCTATCTGTTAATGATCCCACTGCAGGATCACCACTATGGCCTGTAGGAGCCGTGTGAGTACCTCCAGAAACTATACCTCTCTCAACCTCGGCTCCAACTGGGCTGCTAGCTCCATGGCTTGTCCAGGATTCTGACTCATCATTTGTTTGGTCTGGACACTCATCTTCTGTAGCTCCAGCCCATCCATAGTGAACTGCTGCCCACTCGTCAGGCATGTCAGATTCCTCCATGCGCTCTCCAGGTGGTATGCGTCCCATCTCATAATGGAACATGTAGCGACGCTTGTTGACGAAGTACTCGATCGCTCTCTTCCTTGTTTTTTTGCCTTCAAGTTGAATCTTTTTCTGCATCTGCATCAGCTCCTTGATTTCTTCCCAGATGACGCGGTTCACGGCCAAACTCCTCAAATAGGTCAGGCGCTTGATGATGTAGTGGTCGACACCAACCGCCTCACCCAGGAGCATGAATCTGTAGTTGTCATACTCCGCGGCATCCAGGTCTCCATATATTGCCTCATCTTCCATGCAAAGTGCGATGGAACCATAGTCTGTTTCGCGATCTTCTTCTCCTTCTTCTTCAAAGTTTTCGTCGCCATCATTTTCTGTGCCTCCTCCAAGAGCTTCTGTACCAAGAAACATATCGTCCTCGATGTCATAGTCGTAGGCTGTAATTGGTGTGACTTCAGCCTCAACTTCAACTTCAATCTCCTCCATGTCATCCTCAGGTCGAGTTTCTGATTCTTCACCTTCTGGGTAATGAAGAAAGTCTTCTGCTGACATCCTTCGAATCATCACTGGTCTTTCTTCTGGATCTTCTGACCCAATTTTATTTTCTCCTTCTTCATTTCCATCCAAGTAGATATCAATTCGTACTCGTTCTTGAGCTCTGATCTGTTGCCTTTGTCGTTGATCTTGGACAGCCAGTCTCAATCATTCCATTGCTTTTCTCGTCGCCTCGATCTTCAAATACATGATGTACATTATTTTCAACAACACACCAATCACCATGACCAACGCGACGACCACAATAGACAAAAGGAATGTTGTCCATGGCGTCCAAATTGAACTCTTCTCCTCCTCCGCAGCCACAAAGCATTGAAAATTGCTCTGCTGACCCAAGGCTTCCCCATCACGGACCAAAAGCGCTCCAAGGGTCAAACGCAATAACTTCTTGGCCACCTGGTTCAGCAGTGTGCTTCCTTGTCCTTGAGACGTTTCCAGCACCTCTATATGAACCACTTTTCGAATTGCTTTCAATTACTCTTTTGAGCTTTTCTTCACCTTCTCATCCTCAAACTCATGGGCGCCCAAATCTTCCCAGGCATTTGTAAAACCCAAGAGGAACATGAGCAAATGTATTCTTTTGCCCGGTAAAGCTTTGGTGCCCAAATCAGCTGGATTTGCTGTTGTATCCAACCTCCTCAATTGGAAGTTACGGCCCTGCCTTTGTTGGATCCAAAGTAGTCGGCCGTCCAAGTGCTTTACACGTCCAATTCCATCCTTTGCAGCGATTGCCATATAACTTGGGTTGTCGCCGTAGATCTTCAGCTCCACCTTATCTCCAACCAAATGTCGAAGAACAGCGCAAACAAATAGACCTTCACTGGCTCCAGACACCAGTGCCACAAATTCTGACTCTGTGCTGCTCAAAGTGATGTTGCGCTGGGTACGTGAATAGTTGTATATCCAAATCCCTCCAATGAAAATACATCCGCAGCTTGTAGAAGATCTTGTTTCTTTCTGCCCTGACCAATCTGAGTCTGTTGCCACCTCGACCAAGCAAATCTCACCAACATCCTCATAGTCCGGTGAGCTCGACAAACCTTCAGCCTTCTTTCTGAAACTTGCTGATGGATTTCGGCCTTCCATCTTAATGTGGATGTCCTTGGTGGCACTCATATACCCGATCAGTTGAATCAGGGATGCCATAGCGCCCTTTGTTGGTGTTTGAAGTTTTCCTGCCAGCTCCTTCACATAGTACTGCACGTCGGGGCAGTCGCTTGAAACATAGAGCAATGTTCCAACTCCAATCCTGTACTTCTGCACGTCCTGGGGATCTGTCAATGGCTCATCGTTGATGATCATCTCCCCAGGTGTCTTTTTTTTCCTCACACCTCCAAACAAAGCAACCAAACCGTCCACGTACTTGTCGTTCACGTAGATGTTGGTAGAAGTCTCGTCCACCTCAATTATAGGCTTCAGGAAACTCAGCTTTGCTCCTTCTTCAATTGCCACCTTGTACTTTGTCTTCAGGAACGTTGTGAGCTTTTCCAACTCCTCGTCCGTGCCCGTCATTGCGATGTCATCCACATGGATCAGCAATGCCACCGTCTTTTCCTTGTTGGACCTAACTGTGGGAGCTTCTGCACAAGGGACCAAATTGGCCTCCTTCAAGGTCTGTTTCAAATTGCTAAACCACTCTGCAGCTCCTTCACGTTGGCCAGGTAGAACACGACCAAGCATCCAGTCGCGTTGAACTCCAAGACGTTGTGCAAGATGTTGATCCAAGGTTACCTTGACTTCTCTCGGTTGTGGACACATCAGATAGGCATCCTTCACGTCCAAAACCTTCAGGGACCATCCATTCAGTTGTGCTAACGCCGGGATGATTCTGATCAAAGATTGGCCTCCAGCTGGTGCAAAGACATCTGTTCTGTTGGGGTCGATCCAAGCATAGTCTCGAGCCACCAGCCTTGCTCTCCTTGTCCATTCTCCTTCACGCTTGCGCCAATCCAGAACCATCTTTGTTGTCAACGTGTTGACATTCTCCAGGGACTGCCCTTCTCGAGATTTCACCAAAACACCCATGTCAATCAGCCGCATCACTTCCTTCTCAGCCGCTTGCGCCTCCACCTCGAACATCTCATCAGGTGAAAGCTCTGGGGGTTTGTCTGGAAACTCTAGATCTTGATCCCCATCTTCTAAAACTTCTCCAACCACAACCATGCGTACTTGACCATCTCCAGCAGGAAGGGGTCCAACTTCAGCAGCTCCAATTGGTGTTGTAGAACTGCCTGATACACCTGCTGAACTTGATCTCATGGCTTTCCTTGAAGTTTCCCTTGCAGCTTTGCTAGGGCTTTGATCCTCTTCTGGAATCTCCTCTCCATCACGCTTCTGTCCATCTCCACGGCTGCTTGGTGGTGTTTCGACTCCACCTTCATAGGTCTTGTCCTCGTTCACCTCCGCCAACAAGTCTGCCAAAAGAGTGTCATCGTCCATTGAACCTTTGTCTGCTGAGCCTGAACTGGAAGATGTACTTGAAGGATCACTGGCTGCTTCGTCTTGCAGCCCTGCCTGTCTTTGATGTCGATCTTGTCCAGCTTGTTGTTCTTGTTCACCTCCAGCTTGAACTCCAGCAGCTCGACGCCTCTCTTGTGCTTCTTCTGCTCGTATTGCAGGGGCCATATCTGGTGGAAGTGCAAGGCCAGGTACCTTGGTCATCAGCGCTGACTGTTTGGCTCCTATTTGACCAAAAGAAACGCTCCATGGCCATGCCTTCACCAACGTCAAAGCTTCTGCCTCAAATGGCACCGGCAATCTTCGAATTGTGCGCGTCCAACGTAGGCCACCCTCCGTGAAGACAATGTGGAAGTCTGCACGGTCGGTCTTTCCAACCCAAACACCTGTTTTGAAGCGGTTTTCTCCATTGGCTGTTGGGAGTCTTGCAAGAACACGCTCCCCAAATATGGCTAGTTTGCCAATGTACTTCCGTCCAGAAACCATCTCGTATGCTGTGGGGGAACCAGACTGCCGTCTATAATGAGAAAGTAGCCAACCTGCATGTCTCATTGCCCATTGGTAGATGGGGCCATACACATTGATCTCCACCTTGGCATTCTCAGTCAGTTGGCTTACCAGTGAACGTGCTAAACCACGTGCAGTTTGGATCTCCCGCTCAACACGGCCATTCCCCTGAGAGTCATCAGGGCCAGAGTGCTTGATCATGGTTTTGAATCCAAGCTTCTGTCTGCATTTCTGGATGATGTCCAGAAGGGTTGCTGGCTCTGCATCGGCCTTCACGGTGCATGTTGAAAATCCACAGGACCCAATATATCTCACCACCTGCTCTGCAAGGTATTTGGCATGCATACGACCTTTGCCAGGAACAGGTAAAACCAAAACGCCACGTGTCCAGTCATCTGTCACGACCAGAGACACACCCATCCTTTGATCACCTCCATGACGTCGAATTTCTTCTCGATCTTCTTCTTCTGGCTCCTTCAGGGACTTTGCGAAAGCGAAGTCCATGCTGGCCACAGGAAATTCACTTTTGGCTTCTGCTCGAAGATTGACCTCTGACAGCTTGTGGTGTGGGTCTAACTTCCCACGTGATGCTACGCAGTGTTGGCACCAGGTTTCGTAGGGCCAATGACATAGTTCATGAAGTTGCCTTTCAGCTTTGGTAGGAAGAAGTGGAATGACTTGTCCACGAACTCCATCACCACCTTCATCTTGTTTTCGACGCTCAAACTCTCTTCGAGCTATCTCCACTCCAAGGTTCTCTGCCAGGTTGTTGTGGTGGGTAACCAACCTTCTCCATGCATCATCTTTGCTACGTCCTTTGGGAAGACCATAGAGACGAAGACCTTCTCGAAGCTTTCTCAAAGAGCTCCTCTTGTTGTACTTCTCGCCCTCAATCTCGATTTCTTCAAGTTCTCCATCACCAGGACCTTCAGGAAGAACACGTTGATGAGGATCTCCTTCAGCTCCTTCATGTTGCACACCCATCTGCGCATCATCATCGTCGTCTTCAATCTCGTAGACACCATCTTCCAACGTTTTGCCAAACCAACCAAAGCCTTGTTTCTCCTTCTCCTGCTCTGCCGCCTCGCGCTCTTTGGGCTTGAAGAAAGGGTCATCCTCTCCAGTGCTAACTGTTCCAGCGTAGTGCAAATCTTCCAGCTCTCAAGTGAAAAAGGAAACTACTGTGGTGAGCTCCCCGTTGCACTCCTCGATCTCGTCCTCTGATTGACTTCTGTCTGCAACCTCCACAAGCTCCCATTCCAATTCCTTCAGGATCATTGTAGAACGGTATGGAAACTCCACACGGTTCAGCTGGGGGTAGCAGTCAGAGTAGTTCTTTGAGCTGAACTTGACCAGGAAAGGAACACGACGATCTAAAGTCAGATGCCATCCAGGAACACTGAGCATGTTTCTCATCCAGGCATCAAAGCTTATTGTCACCGCCCTGACCTTGACGTCGTTGATGACCTTGGTTTCCACCTTCCTGATCACAGCCTCGGTCACCAAAGAGTTGTTGCGGAAGTGCACTGATTTGCTGAATGCTCCATAGCTCAGCTGAACTCCATCTTTCTCTCCAATCACCTTCCAACCTTTCTTAATCAACTTCCCAAGGGCCAATAACGGTTCATTCACATTGGCCAAAGCAAAGGTTTCACGCATGTGAACTTGATTCCCATTCTGGTCCTCCAAGATGATGATTGCTTGTCTCAAGGCTCCTCCTCGCATCACATGGCCTTGAGCATCTCGAAGAACGCTGCGCTTAGACAATGGGACTCCAATCTCCTTGAACTCCAAAGGCAATACCGACATATCGGCTCCACTGTCAAGCACCATGCTGACAGCTCTTTCACGCGTGACTCCTCTGATAAAGCCACATTCAGATGGCCTCGAACCACCTTTTCCATTCTTTCCACCAAAAGGACATGCAGTGCCACCCGTGAAGCTATCGAAGTAAACGACACCATCGCCTTCTAGCCCACAGACGCACCAGTCCTCATCCTCATGTGAATAGGTCATGTCATAGACCTCCTCTGTTTTCACCATTCTGATTGAGCCTTCAGCATCTGATTCTTCTCCTTCATCCAAGTCCAAATCCACAATCTGAACTCTGCGCACCGTGGTTTGTGACTGCGCTCCACCTCCACTTCCACTGGCTGTTGAACCAGCAGCTTCGGGGCTACCTGCAGCTTGTTTTGTGTCATCTGTCACCTGTCTCAACGACCTGACAGGACACTCCTTGCTCCAATGCCCACGGGCTCCACATAGTTTGCAAGCGTCATATGGAAGCTTGCCCTTGCCTCTCTCCAGATGCCTTCCCATAGTTCTTGCCTTTGCCCTTGTTCACATCATAGCTATAGTTATAGCCATACCCTTTGCCCTTGCTTTTGCCATCTCCTTTCCAGCCGCTTTTGCCCTTTCCATGTTTGCCATCCTTGCCGCTCTTTCCTTTTCCTTTCTGTTTGCCTTTCGACTTGCCCTTGACGCGGTCAATCTCCATCGGCACAGCTTCATCATTTCTGGTGCCACTGTCCTTGATGTCCAACTCCCGGTAAATTGCTTGAGATGTCCAAGAAGTTGTAGTCCTTTCATAGGCCAGAACGCGGTTACGTACAACAGCATATGTTGCAGCTTCATCCAACTGCAGTTGAAGATGCTGTCGAAGTTTCTGAGGAACTGCACGTAGAAGAACAGATAGTTTGGTGTTATCTGAAATCTCCTCCTTGGCCACCGCATGGTACTCCTCTGCAATGCGCTCGAGTCCAAGAACTTGTTCAAGTAGGTGCTTCTCCTTGGTGAAGTTCGGGTGGTTGAGGAATGCCTGTAGCAAGCTCAAACTCCTTGCTCTTGTCCTTGGGGCTAATTGGCGCGTCAGTTCACGCCAAACCTCCAACCCATTTCCATCTTCCACTGAACGCAACAGCTTGAGAGGTCGTCCCCTCAACAGTCCAACCAAGATTGAATGTAACTTCTCTGCTCGGCTGTGCTGCTCCAGGGACATGTCTATGAACTCCATGGGGCCATTTGCAGTTTCTGCTTTGTCCAGGTCGCCCTTGAAGTCCTCACAGGCGTAAATCAACCAACTTCGAAAGCTAAGGCGCCAGTCAGGCCCCATAGTGATTTCCTCCTCATAGTTCTTTGGGTGGAAAAGGTCAGGTTGCCTAATCACCCTTGAAGCTTCACTGAACTTCTCTTTCTTTTCATCTCCAAACCTCTTCTCCAACGCCTGAGCCACCTTTACCACAGCCTCTGCTGAAGCTTGCGTCGACTCCAACAGCTTGGCCACATCGTCAGCCTGCATGGCGTCACCAACGGGTTGTTACACTTCTCGATTTGTGCTTGGAGCCTCACCCCTTTGGGATCATCGGCTCCGCTACCATGCAAGGCAGCCAAGAGGTGCAAGACCCTCTTTTCTCGGGCCAGGAAAAGCCTCATGTAAGTGAAGTGAAATGCTATGCAAAACGACATGTATGCAGGGGTCTCTCTGTACGGCAAATGGTGTACATATTTGTTTTCTTCTTGTCGTCCCACGATTTCCTTCACAGATAAATGGAAAACAAATGAAACAAATGGGAAATAAGAAAGCGAAATCATGCGACCAACGGGAGGCAGAGAGGAAAATAAAATAAAAAACAAATGGGAGATAAGTGAAGGAAACTATGCGACTAACCGGACCCAGAGTGGGAAACAAGTGGAAAACAAATAAAAAACAAATGGGAAATAAGTGAAGGAAACTATGCGACCAACCGGACCCAGAGTGGAACACAAGTGGAAACAAATGAAAAACCAATGGAAAATAAGTGAAGGGAATCATGCGACCAATACAACTCAGAGTGGGACCTAAGTGGGAAACAAATGAAAAACAAACGGGAAACAAATAAAGGAATCATGCGACCAACCGGACCCAGAGTGGGAAATAAATAAAAAACAAATGGGAGAAAAGTGAAGGAAATCATGCGACCTATCTATCAGACCCAGAATAGGAAACAAGTGGGAATCAAATGAAAGACACATGGGAAACAAGTGAGGGAAATCATACGACCCACCACACCCAGAATGGGGAGACAAGTGGGAAACAAATGAAAAACAAATGGGAGACAAGTGAAGGAAATCATGCGAACAACCGGACCCAGAGTCGGAAACAAGTGGAAAACAAATGAAAAAGAAATGGAAGACAAGTGAAGGAAATCATGCGACCAACCGGACCCAAAGTGGGAAACAAGTGGAAAACAAATAAATAAAAAATAAATGGGAAACAAGTGAAGGAACTCATGGGACCAACCGGACCCAGAGTGGGAGACAAGTGGAAAACAAATAAAAAATAGATTAAGAAAAATTTCCCTAGGACACTTCGAGTGGAAACCATTACTAACTCGGCAGGGGGCATTGCTGCAGTAGCTCAACCTAGCACGGGCTTCCTCAATGGATGATTTTTGCCAGATGGCTCCCCCACTGATCATCACGGTTAGATTGACAAGGTCCAAGTCCCTTACCATAATTGTTTCCCCACTGGACATGATGGGGTTAATTGGAATAGCGCAAGTACTGGGAACATTGGCATATGGCATTAAAGGACTACGAAGAAGGGTTTCCACGTGGGATTGGCCGTCCTTCGATGAAAATCCGCAGTAGGCTAATGAGAGCCAAATGGAAATATGGTCCCTAAATCAAGTTCCATCATGGATTGTCCCCCCATTAGCCATTGCCAACCAATATTACGATTCACGAAGTAAGATGACCAAGAGTATGCGATACAGGCTCATCCTAACGAAAAGTTCAGATTTCAATTGGCTAATACAAGACAGGCATGCCTTACGTGATTTAGGTGCGGTGGCAGAGGACGGCAGAAATCACTGGGTACCCCAGCAAGATCTCCCATTTGAAGAAATCATAGTATTCTATTCGCATATGCAGCTGACCACTCAACCCGTCCCTTAGCCTGCACAATGCACGCACTGGAAGAGTCCTACAACCAACCGGGCCCTACCAAGAAGTAATACCCCTGCCCGGGATCCTTTTTTTTGATACCTGGAGAGTAGAACCCACCTTGGACATTCCATCAAACCTTCCTAGTGCGCAAGATGCACCTGAAGAAAACACCACGACTTCTTCCCCAACCTCTCCTAAGATTGATCAAGCCAAGGCGCACGAAGAAGAGGCTAGAGATATACTTGCCAAAGCAGACAAAAACCAAGCTGAAGATGGGCCCAATACGCGCAGGACAGCCATCCGAACATACAAATATCTCTATGCCATGGTCAACCAACACAGGCCGCTTATCCAGCAAACTTATGCGGCTGCCAAGGAACATGCTACAGTAGTAAAGGCACAGCAACCAAAGACCGCACGGTATATCGACCCCGCCCGCAAGAATTCCCCGCAGTGCCTCCAGAACTCACATCGGAGTTCTTGCATTGCTTGTCGACCCTTCCCGACCCGTGGCCCCTTGCCAAGATAACAATCAATATGGATAATCCCAGCCAGTGGATATCGAAAATGGGAAAACTTTTCTTTGCAGGCATGCAATTGAAACAACTTCTCACAAGCAACAACCTCAACAACACACTGCCTTGAAAGCTGTACTGTTCCACTGCATCGTCTTGAAGCCTAGAAGGCAGCATGTGTCAACTCATGCATACACCATCATGGAGCAGCCTGTGGCAAGGGGATTGTTTCAGAGCGAAGCTGCCGGAATCATGCTTGTAGAACCACAGCAGAGCAGCAACAACTCACTCTGCTCGCATCCTGTCGCGTCCAATACAAGTCAATCGGGAATTACCTGCCACAAACGCCAAAAAAGATAGCTTTCGGCTCCAAACTCGAAGCCAAAAATTGATCCTAAAAATGAAGCCATTTTTGGCTTCGCCTAATGAAACAATAGAAGCGGTCTCAGAAATTGAAATTAAAAATGGCCTCTGTCAAAAGAGACACAAACTGTCCAAAACGAAAAGAGATCTTGCGGCGCCAAAAAAACAACTCCCAGTGAATGTACCCGACAACCCTTTTACAGATGCTCGCACAACCTAGCCGTATGTCTAGCATAAAGTTCCATTATTCAACCAGCGAAGCACGTAACTCTCTTCATCCGTCATCATGCCAGAATCGAAGATCATACACCGTTTTCTGTATCATGTTGACACTGTTCCAGTGCATCGTCTTGAAGCCTAGAAGGCAGCATATGTCAACTCATGGATACACCATCATGGAGCAGCCTGTGGCAAGGGGTTTGTTTCAGAGCGAAGCTGCCGGAATCGTGCTTGTAGAACCACAGCAGAACAGCAACAACTCACTCTGCTCGCATCCTGTCGCGTCCAACACAAGTCAATCGGGAATTACCTGCCACAAACGCCAAAAAAGATAGATTTCGGCTCCAAACTCGAAGCCAAAAAATTGATCCTAAAAATGAAGCCATTTTTGGCTTCGCCTAATGAAACAATAGAAGCGGTCTCAGAAATTGAAATTAAAAATGGCCTCTGTCAAAAGAGACACAAACTGTCCAAAACGAAAAGAGATCTTGCGGCGCCAAAAAAAAAACTCCCAGTGAATGTGCCCGACAACCCTTTTACAGATGCTCGCACAACCTAAGCGTATGTCTAGCATAAAGTTCCATTATTCAACCAGCGAAGCACGTAACTCTCTTCATCCGTCATCATGCCAGAATCGAAGATCATACACCGTTTTCTGTATCATGTTGACACTGAGGAGGTCCACTCATGAGTCTCCAGGATCACAATACGTTCCAAAGCTTGAATTAGATTCAACGAGCTAACCCCCTGCCCCCAATACCAATGTTGACACAAACATAAACGTGAAAAATCGAACGCGCCGGTGTGCGATCAATCTAAGAAGCTTCTCGTTTGCACAACATCCAATATTAAAATTCCAGGGCAAGGGGATACACATAGAGTAAAGATGAAATCTAAAGCCAGCAGCCAGACTACTGACGCAGTAGTTGCTGAATGGCAATCTGCCTGTGAGACACATGGATTTGCCATTCTCTCTCAAACATTGAGGTCTGTGCTAATGCTTCCGGCAACATGAGCAAGCATCAACCCACCCGGAAAAAACTCAAGAAAAGCACGCTGGCTGCCAGTACTCTAACATGCTGTGTTTTCATATACACAAACCTCGAACAAACTCGGAATACACGTCCCATCGGACACTTTACAATGGCAGGAACACTTCAAGTGGCAAAGCTCTGGCATGCTGGTTTTTCATATGTACAAACCTCAAGCAAACCTTGTTCAAAGCTCAAATCTATGGGGCCAGACGATGCCAGCAGGTGCGACAGGATTTTAAAGGAAAGTTCAATTAATTTCTTTTTTGCGCGCGGCAACTGTAGGTTTCGTCCGCTGCCTAGAATTGAGGTTTGATTGGGGTTTGTACATATGAAACATCAGATCGAAGGTGTGGTCATGGCATGGCTTTCTCCAATAGAATGCGCAGCACAGAGATGTTTTCAAAGTATGCCTGGAGTTCGTACATATGAAAACACAGCACATCGAAGGTGTCACCAAAAAAGTGCTCATTCCTCAGTGAAATGAGCTGCGCGCAGACATTAACAAGGTTTGTTTGGGGTTTGTACATATGAAAATACAGCAGAAGGAAGAGGAACAAAGCATTGCAAACAAAAACGACAGGTAAAGAACAGATGATCAAGACGTACGGGAAGCGAGCTGCATGGAGATCCGCCTGCATGGATATTCGCGGTGTAAGCATGCAACTCCAATTACATATCCTGAAAGCAAATCCAAATCATTGACGCTTGTCGCCAAATTTCGTAAAGCCCATGATGTCACGCCACAGCATGACACTTTCAAGACACCAAAACAAGCTTCTCGGAATGGCTGGTAGCACTTTTAATGCCTGCAAAGCACGTCTTGGACACCAGGTCACCTCATCTGTCCTTCATGTTGCTCAAGGAACATTGGTTCCGAGAACTTTACCGGTCTTAAGGTCGCAGCCTCCGTCGATCGAAATGAGTCGTATACCAAAAACAATAGACCGGCAAAGCTGCATTACGGCTGAGTTCAAACCAAAAGGGGCCAACGTTGCCTGGAACGTCAATCACATCTTCCGGCGGCGATGGTCTCCCCGATGTACCACAGCCGCATCGATTATGACACTGTGCCAAGTCTCCACAGAGGAAGAAATCGACACCGCCACCAAGCGTGTTGAAAAAAGCATGCCAAAAGCGAGGTATTCCAGATGTCCCGCCCCAGCGAATCACTGATCTGGAAAATGCCACTTACCAACTGCGCCAACTGAGCTGCATCTTGGATAGTTGTACTATCTCAGCAA